TATATATATATATATATATATATATATATATTATATATATATATATATATATATATATAGCGTTTTTTTTTTGTTTGGTATTGATTTTCATCCTTCTATTAAAGTTCTTGTTTTGTGCATTTTATATAATGTCATGTGGGATTTGTTATTGTTGTAGCAGTATTAGGCCACCAGGTGGCAATGAAACTTCATAAAGCATCTATAGACTGCCATTAAGGTTACCTGAATGCAGTATAAAACATTAATAAGAGAATCATACAGTAAAGAGCTCATATAATGGAAAACTGAATTTCCCTCACTAAACTAAAACTGAGTATAGACGATTATACACATATAAAAAAAAAGTGATTTTACCGTGGAACATTAATTATGAACAAATCATCACATCAGTTAATCACTAGTGGTTGGTGTAGTGTAGTAGGTAACATCTCTACTTGCCACGCTGCAGACTGGGGTATGATCCCCACCACAGGCAAGCACCCTTCAATATAAAATGGTGATTTTAAATTAGAAAAAGTAAGCTCCAAACAAAACATGTCAGTACAGAATGAGTTTATTGTAATATTATTTAACAGAGTAACAATCTTACCAAAATTGTGCAGCTGTATTGTAGTGAATCAGGCTCTGTACTGGCTTATACTCAATATTAAAGGACTCGAATCGGATTGGGGAATGCTGAATAGTTCGCCAACCAAAAATACCTGACAACGATCCTGTGATCAAAACTGACCGCTGATGAAAGACTAGAGAATGGCAGAAACACAGTGAAAAGATTGTGTAAGGGTCATGGAGTCTCAAAGCATATATAGATGTTTTTCACCCAATCAAATAAGATTTAAATAAGATAGACATTTAATACATGCCATGTTTGAGTGTGTATGTTGTTATGCAGTGGAAATGTATGCAATGGTATTATTTTTGCTGTGTTGAATTTTTAAAAAGGTATTAAAAAGCAGCATTGAATTTGATTTTAAAAATTGTGCAGCAGCAGTTTAGCTCCATCTATTCACGCTAAAGTTATAAGAAGTGGTTTAGGTCTGACTGCTTTTTGAACTCATCTAGGTATAGGCCAATTGATCAGAACAGACATCTTTTACATATATCAGGCATAAATGCAGAGTAACTATAACAGCCTGTGTCATTCTAATAGATGAAGAAAAAATGAAAAATGGTCATGTAAAAATGAATATGACTATAATGTTTAAGAAAGTACTTCCTAGTACATAAAAAACACGCAAATGGCATGTGTGGATCTCAGGGGAGAAAAATAATACGAGGAAAGTATAAGATGTTGGGCTGTTTAAAACCAAAGTAGTATTTCTGACACTTTTCAGAATTTGTATAGTTTTTGATGTTGTGCAAAACATGTGACTAGCAGCAAGCCAGTCATATAAGTATTACATGTCGACCTTTTAAAATTAAATCTTGCTAAATAATTAATGCCTACTTCAGTCACCAACAGTCAGTAGTAAGACTTGGATCCACTGCTGGTGAGTACAGGATGTTTACTAATCCTAAATGTTTGTTTCACCAGAGCCTGACATGGTCAATCCCTGCAGCCTGGCTGTCAGAAAAGCTCTGCTTGATAACATGGACCTGAGTGCATTTGCTAACTTCAACAAAAAGACTGGACCTCTGCCTGAGACTAATGATGACCTGCATCTTGGTATCCCTCACATGCATATGACCATAACTTAATTAGTAACTTGGCATTACAGGCCTAAGCTTCTGACTGAACAGTATTTATTATTCTAGATGGCGAAACCTTGTTCTTCGTCAGAAAGATGGGTGATGTGGATAGATACTTGTATTGTTCAAGTGGTGGGAGTGTGCTTGCTAAGGTATGTCTCTGAGCACTGAACTTCAGTAGTCAATCTTGTTGATTGAACAGGCGGAGACATGCATTGTTGCATCCCTCTGGTTTGTGCAGGTGGACGAATCTACAGTACCTTGGGATTTCTACATCAGCTCCCAATTGAGAGCCAGGCTACCTACCAATCTGCAGCACTGTTATGCTCAAAGCACCTGCTGCCTCTATGAGAATGGCTCCTTCACACTCTGGAGGGTTCATCAAGGGAAGACTATTCAAGTATGGCTCTCTTTATTGTAAAATCATGGTCGTCAAAGTTATGGAGTTGCCTTGTTCTTCATACAAAACAGTTTTTTTAACAATATGTTTTTTTTATTGTGGTTTTTAATGCTTTTTTGTGGCTATTTCTATATAGGACCTACTAGAAGAGCACATAGATAGACAAGATGTTCCACTCTTAGCTGTCCAGTTGCTGGAGATGGTAAAACAGATGCACTCGTGCCGGCTTGTTCATGGGGCTTTGCGGCCTGACACGCTAATGCTGTGCAACAGGTACAGCTAACCTACACAAAATTTTACTGATAGTTTAGTACTAGTTCCTTTGCTGTTTTAAAAGGAATAAAGTGATGAGGTGCCCCATACAGGTGTTTAGCAGAAAAGAATGGTGGTGATGAGGTGAACATGGTAATTTTCTACCAATTTGAAGCTGCGTTATGCAAGTTTTTTTGTTAAAATTGAAAAGAAAAAGAGCATTACAGAGTAGGAAGGATAAACGCATGTTAAAATATGATGTCAGGTGTGCTAAGAGACGCTCTGTGAAGCCTGAAATAATTTAAATATACTCGGAGGAGGAGTCCTAAGCACAACTGATGCTCAGCTCAGTACTTCCACTAAAACTTGCAATATGTGCTGAATGTTTACTTTTGAAGAAAACTGAAATCTAGCTTTAGGTTAGCTGTGCTGGTTCTAGAATTCCAGATCTTGAAAGTATTCTTTAGGTGTCCAACAAGTTAGTTAAATAGTAAGATAAAAACACACTCAGTGCTCACCCGTGTGCCTTCATGTTGATTTAAGTGATGATTCTTTTCCCAGCTCTGAAGACAGTGTTATTATCGGGATTGAGTTCTCCAGCTCATTGGATCTTGAGCTGCAGCCCGAGGTGAAGATGGTGCAAGCTCTTCCGTCTGCTCAGGACTACATTAAGCAGGGCTTATTGTTGCCCTCTGCCTCCCCTTACCAGGTATGTCATTCACAGGCTGCTTAGAGATTAATGTGAAGAAAGAAAAAAAATGTCACAAAGCATTGACATTGTAACGTGCTAGGAGAAGTGACATACTTAAAGGGAAAAAATACTATTGCTTCATCTGTGGTAAACATGCTTACTTGCCTCAGGCTTGCTGTGGTTCCACAATACTATAGTATATATTAAGAGTTTCTTGTATTAAGAATATATATATATATATATATATATATATATATATATATATATATATATATAAATTTAATGACTGCTCACCTTCGAACAGGTTGATCTATGTGGAATTGCAGAAATAGTGCACTTGTTACTATTTGGAAGAAGCATACATCTAGTTAAGGAGGACGCATATTGGAGATTGGCAGAGGACTGTAACCTCAGGTATGATCAGTTAGTACATGCCCTCTGAAATACAAGTCAATGAGTCATGCACATATATCTCATTTCTCAATCCACTATCTTAATTTTTCCATTCTTTGGTAAGGATGTTAAAAGATGTGAGAAGATTGTGTTTAATGTGTTTGTCCTTCATTTTTAGAGAGCCTCTCGGTCCCTTGTGGGAAGACTTCTTCCATAACATTTTGAATCCAGAGGACAAGTCAACAGAGTGTGTTTTGTCCAACCTCATCAACTGCTTAAAGAATGCTCTCTATGAAGACTTGGAGTGTCCCGTTTCACTGTAATGTATGTTGTTAGTGTGTTTTTCTATGTTATTTTCACCTCCTTTAGCACAGAATACCCTTCTCTGTCCTTTTTGACTTACTAAACTTCAGATGAACTGAATTCATTACCTTCTGTATTTGTTTGTACCTTTTAATTCATTCATGCAACCCACAGGGGTGTTTCTGTAAGCTGGTAAACATCATAAAATATACCAGACAATTACACTAATATTAAGGTCTTTCTGGAGAAGCAATTTGTTGTAAATCGACATATGTATGTTTTTGTATGTTGTTTTTGATAATATTCTTTATTAAACAGTGGCAAGTTGTGTATAATCCAAGTGTTCGTTTTTTTTGTTAATATAATAAATGAAGCTGTGTTTAGCTCACTTGTTCCTCTCAAACTTTTTTTGTGGTGGTTAAAAAAACAAACAGCCTGGTATTTTATGGTGGTTTGAGAGATTTAAGGGTGACGAGGCAGAAGAGAGGGAATTTCATAAACAATGGTCTGAAACCACATCTTTATTTATTTAATAGCCTGAAACCACTCTTTAAGGTGCCAAGTAAGCACAGTTCAAAAGAGGCAAAGCATGTATTTAAAAAAAAAAACAGGAACTGTCTGGGATAACAAAAAGTGCGAAGACTTATTTCCGTTGTGTTCCCTAACTCAAACATTTAAGAATGGTTTGATGTGAAATGGTTCATTGTCAAGAACGTTGCTGGTGAGAGGAACCAGGGGTCGTAACATCTGCAATGCCAATATAGCAGTTTTATGTATTGTCCAAAATGATCAGTGAACCTGCATATTTCCTGAGTTTTTAAATGTAATGTTGATAATGTTAAAATAGTGGTAAATCTGAAAATAAAGCTTTCTTTGGTGGCTGTTTTGCCCAACAGTGCCCTGCATAGATCTCTTTGCCATGAATTTCGTTAAAAAATGTCCCGATACTATCGTAAAACAATGTCTCGGGCATTTGACTGTGAACCGTTCTGGCTGTAAACCATTGTAACTCAGTATGTTTCTCTATAAAGGAGCATTTCATTTCAAACCAGTCTGAACGATTCAGTTATATCTTAACCATTTAATTAAGCTGAAATTTTGACAAATCTGTAAAATTTCCTTTTGGTGAAACTCTAGAGAAGGTTTATTTTTTGAAAGGTGTCTGGCCATGGTGTCTGCTTTGATGAATATGCTGTCGAAGCAGATTTATGTTTGAGTAGTTTCTGCAAGCTGCACTTATAAAGTCAGCCTAGAGGCAGCTAAGATTGCAGGTGGTGTGTCTCACGGTGAGCGAGTTAATGTTTGCTGTTACCCAGACTCCTCATTTGCTAGTAAAATGGTTTGTTGCCCTTCGAAAACAGTGAAAAGGAGCTGCTGGAATATGATCACTTGGTGACCAAGCAGTCACACCTTCTTACTCCACCCCAAACCAAGTCACAAGTCTGGAATGTATGGCAACAATCTCAAGGTTTCTATGAATAGAAAGTGTCTCCCCTGTGAATTTGGGATCCAACCTGTAAGTGGCTGATTATCTCTTTTAAACGTGTTCTTTAAAGCTGGTGTGAAAGAGCTGCAGTTGAATCCAAAGTCTTGTAGACATGCCTTCTGGTTTAGCTTAACTGAACCTTGAACTTTAGTCTATGGATTGTGTATGTTCAGGTAAATTATTATAGAAGGTCTACTTCAGGAGAAAATAATATCTGCTGGGCAGTTTGGGTAGTGAGGCTTGCTGTGTTAACTGTACATGTCTGTGCAGATCGTTGGATTAAGTCAAGCACAACGTGGCTCCAGGGTGTGTCGTAAGTGCCACAGTGGATTTGAAAAAAGGGAAATAAAGGATGTATTGGAATTTCTTATGAATCACAAAAGGACTGGCAAAAGTGCCAAACTTCTCTAAATGAAAAAGAAATGACCAGCCCAGCTTTAGAGAAGCACAATAATATAATTAGCAAGATCAAGTGAAGTAATAAAAACCCATCAACATCCAGTAGTTTGTGAACAATTTGATGGATCCAACTCCATAATCTGTCCCTTTTTGCAACTGGAGAGCAATCAAGGAATGGTAAAATAGATTCTGGTGTTAACCCTTTTACATCAGACCTTTAGAAGATAGCAAAAAAATCTAACCTGTAAAATGAACATTAATTCCTTATCCAAGTTGAGGAGCATCTAGAGGCTTCCTGTTTTTAAATGGGCACTCAGGCCAAAGTGAAAAATTTAACCATGTCTTGCACCAAAGCACTAGCTCTGCTAATTCTTTAACTTAATTATTTCCTTAAAAAAGAAAAGAGTTTAACAACCAACTCACATTAGTGCTATATCACTAATGCTAGCTAGCATGACAGATGTGCACTATATAGACAAAAGTATTGGGACTCTTAATCATTTAATTCAGATGTTTCATTTAGTCCTATTGCCACAGGTGTATAAAATCGAGCACCTAGCCAAGCAGTCTGCCTTTAGAAACATTTGTGAAGAAATGGGTCATTCTAAGGAGCTCACTGAACTCGAGTGTAGTACTGTAATAGGATGCTACAGTTGCAACAAGTCAGTGGAAGCATTTAGGAACCACAGCAACTCAGTCAAAAAGTGGCAGACCATGTAAAGTTACAGAGTGTGTCAACGAATGCTGAAGCATATAGTGCATAAAAGTTGCCAACGCTCTGATGACTCAATACTGCAGAGTTCTAAACCTTCTCTGGCATTAACATCAGCACAAAAACCGTGCGCCGGGAGCTGCATGGCATGGGTTTCCATGGCTGAGCAGCTGCATGGCATGGGTTTCCATGGCCGAGCAGCTGCATGCAAGCCTTACATCACCAAGCACAATACTAAGCATCGGATTGAGTGGTGTAAAGGACGCTGCCACTGGGCTCTGGAGCAGTGGATATGTATTCTGTGGAGTGATAAATCACGCTTCTCTGTCTGGCAGTGTAACGGGCGAGCCTGGGTTTGGTGAATGCCAGAAGAACGTTACCTGCCTTACTGCATTGTGCCAGCTGTAAAGTTTGGTGGAGGAGAGATAATGCTATGGGGTTGTTTTTCAGGGGTTGGTCTTGGCCTCTTTAGTTCCAGTAAAGAGAAATCTAAATGGTTCAGCATACGAAGACATTTTGGACACTTGTATGCTTCCAACTTTGTGGGAACAGTTTTGGGGAAGACCCTTTTTGTCCAAAACCAGTGTCTGACCTAATGCTCTTCTGGATAAAAGGGTAAAAATTTCCACAGACACACTCCTTAATCTTGTAGAAAGCGTCCCAGAAGAGTGGAAGCTGTTATAGCTGCAAAAGTGGGACCAACTCCATATTAATTCCTATGGATTTGGAATGGAATGTCATAAAAGCTCCTGTAGGTGTAATGTGAAGATGTCCCAATACTTTTATTCATTTAGTGTATTTGTTATCCTCCAAATCAGTGGGAAGCAGTATTTGTTGACATCCATAGGGATTCCCAGGTGTATTTCCATAAAGCATGCTGGGTACTGTAGTGAGAGAACACTGATGAATGAAAAACACAAAAACAATACCAAATCATAAATTTTCTCAAACCACTGAGGCTGAGGGGTGCAGTGCTGCACTACAGAGAACAACATAACATAAATAATGTATTAAATGCTAGCTTTAGGCCAGAATGCCCCTTTAAATATGTTCAAACTGAGACCATTAATAGTATTCCCTACACTCTTAAAAAAATAATGGTGCCAAAAAGGGTGGCATAGATTAGAAGATCCACGTTTGGTTCCCTAAAGATCTTTTCAGCAGATGGTTCTTTATAAAGTGACTTGAAACCACACAGTTGAAAGGTTCTTCAGGGAACAGAAGTGGTTCTTCTTTAGCATAGCTCCAAAGGAAGCCTTTCTGGCAGGTTTATTTTTAAGAGTGTATGCATACCAGAGGCCTGTTTACAGTTTGAGTGTTTTATGATAATTCCACCAGACGTGATTACAGCAGACACATGAGAGGTCTGTTCTGATAGGAGATCAGCTCTGACAGAGACTGCTTTAACCACCCTCACTCACCCTCCAGGTAAGAACGCGCCCAGCTCATCCAGACATGTGGTGGCCTGTGCAGTGCATGTTGACTAGAGCAGCTAGCAGTGCTCTGAGTGAGTGAGTGAGTGCAAGACACAGACATACGGTGCATGAGGTTTTCTATGAGTAAGTGACCGTCTTTTGCTGAGTCTTATCTCCAAGAAGATATCCAACAATTACACCCCTAGACAGAAAGGTAAGATAGACTCAATCTCTCTCTCATTCTCTCTCTCTCTTACTCTTTCACCCTCTCTCTCTGAATGAGTTAAGGTAGCTTTGAAGGAGGGGGAAGGGATTCTGACAACTTCTCTGACAAAAGTTAGGTTGGTGAAAGCTTCGGCAAGGAGGGCAGCTTCATGATGGCCATGTGACTGAGGACTGAGGAGAATGGGAAGAAGAACAGAAGATATGGAGAGGTTAGTGACTCAGCACATGATCCTTTCTTTGTTCTACAATCTTTCACAAACTCTTCTCTTTGAAACATAGAATAGAACTGATTTTGCTTCAGGATGTTGTGTTTGTACCTCAAAAATATGATTGCACTTTAGTGATTGCCATTCCGATGCTGTCTCCAAAGAGGTTTCCTCTCTTGTTGACCACAAGACCTCAAGATATTCAGGCCTTACAGTGTTTGATCTGGCACTGGTTTGTGTTTGTTGTTTGCGTTTGCGCTGTGAAGTTGTGACCTGTCTTGAATCAGGAAAATGCCTCTCCTGTTGAAAATCTACCTGAAGAGGCTTTAACTGATTTAATCTGCAAATTACTCTTAGTGACAGATAGTGCTCTGTTGTCTGGACAAGTTTCTCTGCATAAACAGACCCGCTCATAAAGGGATTGATTGGCCAAGCAGGTAATCTCGTCTGAAGCAGGCTGTTTACTAGCAGAATAATACAGAATACAGAATCAGTCAATAAGTGCTTTTCAGTAGTGAGCAGTAGTAGTGAGCACTACTGTATACTTTACAGTAGGGATGCACTGACATGGGAATGATGGCAATTTTTGAGTTTTACATGTACATACCTGCCTGTGCTGATACTGATGTACATGCATTTATAAAAAGCAGTGGCGAACCATTACGAGCAAGCCTTCAGTTTGGGCCATAAATGCCAAGGAAAAAAAAAACATCTCTATGCTAATTTCTGCTAGCACCCTTATGGGATTTTAGTAGTATGATAGCATTAAGCTAACAGTGATTCACTTGAACATTTTAGGCTGACATTTAAAGCTTCTTCTATATTACCTCCACAAAAACGTGCTGCTGCTGCTGTAAATACATCATCCGTCAAATCTAAACATCTGTTTGATGGTGATATTTTTTTAAAGCAATGTGCTGATATGGATATAATTCCAATATCATTCTGCATCCCTGCTTTCAGGGTTAGGATGTCTAAGAAATAGAACATGAGAGGGAGTGTGTTATCATGAAATAACATCACGTGATGTGATATGCGATAACACACAACCTCGAGTGTTCTATTGCTTTTTATACAACAGTTAAATAAACAAAGTAAGAAATAAATATATTGGGCAGTGAACATGGCATTTAATATCGCCGCTGTCCAAATCCAATCTAAATAAATAAAAAAAAACCCATCAGTGCTAGTTTATTAACCATACTAAAATCAGTGCATGGCATGTAGCAAACATGATTGTTAGATGTACTCTAAAGAGGACCTTTAAAAACACTGAAGTCCTGCTAAAGCCTGAGTAGACTGATAAACCAATGTGATGTTATTAATCTCAGTGTTACTGAGCTCTGAGTGATAAACAAACTACTGATCTCCTCAGTAGTGGACATGTTTGCAAGTGATAAGTTTAGCCTCAGTGTTGTACTGGACTCCTGTTCAGGTGATTGTGGGATCAGCAATAGATTAAAGCAGGTGATGAGAGAGAGAAAAAAAGTTTCAGAGCCTTATTTAAATGATTTAAATTATTTTTTTATGAAAAAAGACTTTTCTATGTGTCTTATCAATATGTAATTCTGAATATGCTACTTTTTATTTATTGTAACAGTACTCTGCCCAACCTTGCCTAATTTACAGCTTTCTGTGTTGTGGACAATACCAGTCTGCATTATGAATGACAAAACGGTTGATGCTGATTATGGTTTGGATATGTTACCATGGCATTTGTGGAACTACATCAGTTCTGGTTTAGGCAGATTTAGTTTCCATTTGTATAGCTTTCAGTATTTCTGTTGTGACATGTTCTCCCCTTGTGCAATAGGATGTCAGCAACATAATCAGAATGAATCAATGTTATTAGCTCTTTCGAAAGTGCTAACCTGCAGGTCTTACCAAGTTTTCTACAAGAAATAATCAAACAGCCTGAGGACTGAACTCATTCTTATGTGTCCTGTGGGACTTGAATTACCAACGGTTACAGAAAACAAAGCTTGTGATGGGGATGGCCCAGATAATGTGATACTGAACCTGTTTGGCCTCTGGAGTGTAGTGGATTCTTCAGGACGCCAGGGTGTTTCTCCAGTTTACGTGTCAGCACCATCTGAAAGCTCACATCAACTCATTACAATTGTTCAGCTGGAGAGAGAATCATGCAGCAATTCAGCTGTGAGACCTGAGAGGAACTAGTCAAATTAATTATCTAGAGCACATCATCTTGCTAGTCAGGCGTCATTCTTGAGTTCGGCATCTGCCTACTTATTCAGAGTCGAGGCAGCATGTGTCAAGTCACAGCATGTGTTACAGCGAACCGTACATTATTCAGTGAAGTCTGCGGGAAACTCAGCACATAATTTTATCAAGGTTAAAACAACAGCATTCTTACTGGATCCTGTTAAATAATGTGAGGAGAAGAACGTCACGCCAGCGAAGGTATGATTTTCAAAAAGTGCAGGAACTTTTGTAGTATTAAGTCAGTAGTTAGTAGCATAAGTCAGTAGTTAAGATGTAAACAAAGAATGGTTTGATGTGAAAATTCTCCATTCTAGAGTAACTTACTGAGTCAGACTTATTCATAATGGTGATAATAGGAACCTGAAGTCCAAAGAGTTTAACTCCTCTAAAAGCTACATCAAAGAAAGTTATTATATGAAATGGTAACGAATGCTGTCCGATACTTGAGACATTGTTTTATGATATTTTTGAGATTAGGTTTTGGCCTTAAACTCATTTTTCCAATGCATTCATGGTGGAGAGTTACATGCAGGGTGTGGAAAGGCAAAAAAGACCCCCCAAAAAAAACTTATTTTTTCAGATTTACCACTATTTTACTATTACCAACATTACATATAAACTAAAGACAGTTCGCTGCTCATTTTCGATAAATGAAATGCCTGTATTTGCATTTGAGGCATTGCAATCCCTGGTTCCCATCACCACCACTGTAAAGAAGTCTGAGTCAGTTTCTCTAGAAAGAACCACTTCACATCAAACCACTCTGAATTACTGTTTACATTTCAACCACTAAATTATGTAGAAATTTTAAAAAATCTGTGGAATTTCCCTTTAAAGCCCCTGAAATATGATGCTTTCCATTATATATGCTTATAATTAATAATATGACAATCGAAATTGTTCTTGACCTTCTTTCAGCACGTACCATGTGCACATCCTCCTAGATCAGGCCTCACCAAATCCCGCTGTTTGTGAATGTTATGCTGCACCACACCCTTTGATTAAACACTGGAAAAGAGTGTCAGTGACAGAGAAGAGGAAAAGTGTGCAGACGTGCAGTTCTCCCCTTACTCCTCTGTCTTGTGGACTCTTAATCATCAGCTTTCATTGACATGGACGTAAGGACTGGATGATGGGAACTCAGTGAGGAACATCCACCAGAAGATTTCTACTGAGGCCAAATAGAAGTACACAGGTAAGGCTTTATGACTTTATTCATTGCTTTACACTTTACTGTGTGGTGTTGCCATATGGCAACAATTATTTTCTTGATTTTTCTGGCCTAACTACAATATAAATGTTCTGTTCTTTTCATATGGTAAACTGAAGGCTTTATGTGTAAATTGGTTTACCTTTTTCTTATCATATGCCTTCTGTTGCAGTTTGTACTTCTCACACACAAACACACACTCATGGCGAGGCCTGGTTTCTGAAGCCCTCTCAAAGTGTGTGTATAATTTGATATTTATACACAATAACTTAAGGGAGAAAAAATTGTAAACACTTATTTGGAATTACAAAATGTGTTATAAAATAATCCAGTTTCAATGCTTATGGTTTCATCTAAAATTATATAATTATTGCCATATGGAAACAGCATGTGACAACGGAACTGCAGTCTGCCGGGCGTACAATTGGAGTAAATTAATACACTGTTATTGGAGACTGTGCGAAGCTATATTAGATTCTAAGCTGATTTTTTTATCACAAAAAATATATTCATACTTTTTGTGTTATAAGCATACTTGGCCAGTAAGTTTTTTTACATGACTGTATAATAAATATGCCTTATAGAACTTTACTTATTTTGTATGCATTCCAGATTGCAGATGTACTGTTGCCATATGCAACAAAATGCATTCTGATTTTTATAATACTAATAATACTACTACTAATAATAATAACAATAATGCATTTTATTTATAATGTGTGTTATATAATTACATGTCTGCATGTCTACCCTGTGATGGACTGATGACCTGTCAAGGGTGTTTTCTGCCTTCCTCACAATGACTGCTGGGATAGACTCCAGCACCCACTGCGACCCAGTAGGATAAGAGGCTTAGATAGAGAGTGTGTGTGTGTGTGTGTGTGTGTGTGTGTGTGTGTGTGTAGCATTTAAGGACACAGAATTTAGGAAAATGACTAAATAAAATATTGAAAGCAAAAACAGAACATATTACACCATAACATTTGAGGAATTGATGCCAATTTTTGTCCAAAAGAAAAATCATTAAAAACCATTAAAACTTTAAATTAAAAAATTTCTTAAATCATAATTATACCATGAATTTCTCAAGAAATGTTTGCTGTCCTTCAGAATCTGCATTAATTACAGCTCCAATCAGGAACTGCTGGAACAACATTACAGCTGCTTTAGATCTAACACAGAGCACAGTAAGCATTCAGTGCATTTGGGTGGGCGATTTTGGCTATAGAGGTAAAATGTAACCTGCCACTGTGTACAGGGTTGTAGGATTAAACAAGTAATGTTTAGCCCTGTATGGATCGTTCTACTGAACTGGTTCAAAAAACTCCATTTAGTCGCTACCTGTACAATAAAAACATCTCTAAAACTTGTAGTGTTAGTTTTGGTAGTGACTGTTTCAGCAGTGGCAATTTTAGCTAATTTTGAGCATGACTTAAAACCACCAGTCTGTACATGACTAGCAGACACAACTTTGAACAGTTGTACACATAAAATCAGAATATTTTTCATTAAAACACAAAAACGTTTTCAGCATTTCGGACATATTTACTTCTAAACAATGTGATCTAGCTGCTCACCATGTGGCCATGAGGGACAAGGATGCAGTCTCACTTCCTGCTCTAAAATACAGGGGTGTGGCCAAAATAAGCCTCTACTTATGGACTAAAACTCTTTGTATTTCAATAGTGACCTGAAAATGTGGGACAGCATTTTTTGAGTACATTTTTTTTTAAATTAAACTCATGATAAATGTAAATCTTTCAACTTAGTTTGAAATCAACAAGATATTTTAATAACAACAATAAAATTTTAAACTTTGAAATTTAGGGCTTAAGTTTTGGGACAGCCACCTCTGAGTAGAAAGTACCTTATAAATGATGATTTTGTGTATGTTTAGCTTAGTACTGTCTCTATTAATGCCTTGGGTTTAAATAGACCATAATATAATCCTTGTAAATATCTATGGTCTGAATACTTAATTGTTTTTTAAATAGGTCTAAATAGGTTTAAAACTAATTTGGAAAAATTGTCCATAGAGTAGTAGATACTCTTTGCTTTCAAAGATTACTATTCTTGATTAAGCAAGCAGCATATCCTGTGTTATTTCGTCTGCAAATGTTATTTGGCGGTTATAACCAAATATGTTATTATTTCTGTCAAATTTATTTATTGTATGTAAGTATGGTATGGCAGCTAAGCTTTTTCAGAAATTAAGAAACGACTAAATGCTTTACCATAGCACATTGGATAATAAAGCCTATTCAGTTTCTGCAAATCATTTATGACAATAATCACATGAAGTCTAAATATCTGACATGTAGATCCATTTTTAACTGAGCACTTATGCTATTAGGCCTTGGCTATTACAATTTGTGATAAGAACTGTTTGTTGCCTAAATTCAATTCAATTGAACTTGAGAACTGAGATGTGAAATGGCATGTCACTTTAAATAATACTGAGTACACATTGAAGATTAGAAGGAAAGAATAAAGAAAATTTGTAGAACACTAGCATTTGAAAGTTTGGAATTACAGTTCAAAAGTTTGGGATCACTATTTTCAATAAAAAAAAAAAAATGCTGCAAATAATTATATGCAGTTGTTCTATTGTGATGCTACTACTCTACAACTTCACACATCACTTTACACTATCTAAGTAGTAGGAAGCTGTGAATGACAGATGGGTCCAGAATGCTGTGTATGAGAATTAGGTTATAATAAAAGTAACATCCATGCTCTGTATTTAAAATGTGGTGGCCAAATCTCAGACAGTTAAGAAATTACAATCTATAAACAAATAAATAAGTACAGTATATTATTTATCATTTCCACACTGCTTAAGATAGAATTGCAATGCACACTGCATAAGTTAGAATTGTACAATATAACAGCAATTATTAATATAACAAGTGGTCACAAACTTCTAAATGCCAATGTATCAAACTAGTATCCTGTGAACTGCTGTGATCTCTTATCTCAGTTAACAGCTCTATTGCATCTGTATTGCGTAGGCCTATTACGCACTGTTTAATGTTCACTTGTGAGTAAATATTGATTGGCCTACTTAAACAAGGATACAGCCTGGAGATATTATTCATGTATGGACACAGTGTATACACGTGTTATCATACCCTGCTGTCAAATGTAGTTTTATGTTTCTGCCTTTATTTTAGATAATACTGCACTGTTTATAGAAGCACCCACACCCAAAAATGTACTCGATAAGTTCTAAACATAGATGCACACTTTTTTGTAGGTTGTTTCCAGTTTATTTTCACAGCCTTCAAATGGTAGCTACTGTCTGAAACAGTAATCTGATGAAAATGACTTCTAATTATCTAGAAATCATTTTTATTGATGTGTTTTCATGATCAATTTCAAAAGCAGAAGAAGACTTTTTTAGGTGTGATAGCATTTATTAGATCATATAAGCCATTATGGGTTGGTTCAAGTTCTTGATCGTCTTTCATTTAAGTATCTGATTAAGTCTGACATTTGGTAGGTAAAAGCAATTTATGCAGAAGTGGTTCTTCCTAATCTCTTCTTTAATCATGTCAACAAAAGCAGGTCATGTTAAGCACAAATAACTGTTTTTTGACTATATACACACTGCAATAAATGATATTGTGGTAAGGAAAGTTCAGCATATTTGTGATATTGACCATGTTAAGGCCTTTGTACAAAAAATGTCTTTTTTGGGTTTTTTTTTTTGGAGTCTTATCTCTATCACTGAAGCTTGTGTCGAGATGACTCTAAGGTGGATTTGATCTACTCATCAGAGGCTTTTGCACAAACTTATGGAGTTCATGACAGCATGACTTGTTATGCTGATAATATAATTTGTAAAGATATTACATAAGAAAGGAATGCAAAAAAGAAACATTTTTACTCGCAGTCTTGGTCTTTTGGACCTCACTGTATCTAATAATTTTCATTTTAAAATTGCAGTAAGAATATTATATAATCAAGGAATTGTATGGATTTTTTTTTACTTTTTTACCTAGAAAAACTGTCTGAATAATTTTACCAGTTTTGTCTTGTAAACATTTAAACACATAAGTGAACAACACCTGGAAATAAGTTGAATAACCTTTTGATTTTTGTATCTCAAACATCTCAAAATGAGAAATATTAGATATATTGACTAGATTTAAGATATTTTCACTTCCATCCATCCATCATCTAAACCGCTTATCCTTCTGGGTCACGGTGGGGTGCTGGAGCCTATCCCAGCTGTCATTGGGTGGAAGGCAGGATACACCCTGGACAGGTCGCCAGTCCATCGCAGGGCAGATAGACAGACATACACATTCACACACACACTCACACCTAGGGGCAATTTAGCATGTCCAATCAGCCTGACTGCATGTTTTTGGACTGTGGGAGGAAACCGGAGTACCCGGAGGAAACCCACGCAGACACGGGGAGAACAGGCAAACTCCACACAGAAATGACCCTGGTCGCCCGGCCGGGAATCAAACCCAGGCCATTCTTGCTGTGAGGCGACAGCGCTACCAACTGCGCCACCGTGCCGCCAATATTTTCACTTGATACAATATAATTAATTTTAGTGCAGCTAAACTTTTCTAAGTGTTATACAGCTTTTTAACCCTATAATGTTTGACTCAAAAACCCTGCACCCATGTGTAAATGACCTGTATTGGTATCAATGGTTTTCATTAGAAAAAGTGTCTCATGTGATTTGAATAGTCCATTACAGTCCCCTATTGATTATCTGCAGATGTTCAAATTTTTGACAAACTATCTGTTGATTCTAAAAAGTGGTGGGGTTAGGGTTAGGATTTGGGCAAGGGTTAAGGCTAGGGTCAGGGTGAGGGTTGGGTTTAGGTTTTGGGTTGAGGTTAAGGTTAGGGTTAGGATTAGAGCCAGGCTTACAGTTAAGGAAAATTATAGTGAATTTGGTAGATATTTAGTTGAATGTAACTTAAAAGTAAATTAAGTATCTACAAAGCATCTAAAGTGAACTATCAAAGTAAAGTGTTTTCAGAAAAGGTATCCTGTTTATCTTTACCTTCATCTTAATGAAATAATGTGATAACAATAAGATTTTGATGATACACAGATGTTGTAATGTTTCAATCATGTTTATTTGAGCAGATGTACATATACAGTAAAGAAAGATGAAATTCAATACTCTTTAAATGTTTTAGAACATTTCATCAACTGACTCAGCAAAAAGGAACCAGACTGAGTGACTTATTATTATTGACTTATGGAAAATCAACATTAGTTTATTTTCATTTGTTTAATGTTTTCTCAATAATGTCAAACAGTAATGCAGTAGAAGTAACACGCAAAATTAACTAGCTAGCTAGTGTTAGCTAGCTAACTTAATAAATTTCGCTAGTTAGCTAAATATTAACTGGTGTAAGTTGTTGGCTAGCTGGCTGATTTAGAATATCTGAATATCTATATGATTCAAAGTCATGTTTTCTGAGATAAACAATATATTACTTAAAGACAAAATGTACCTTACACTATCATATCAACAACAAGTCAATGCTTGAAGCAAGTTAGCAGTTGAGTATTAGTTATGACAACCAATGTTTGAAACAAATTCCGAACAGCAATTGTCAAAATGAGTTATGAATGGAAGAGGCCAATCAAGTGATGAAATGTTCTTAGAAATTGAATTTTTACAAAGATAGAAAATAATGATAAAAACGCTGTTAATTTAGAACAAACTCACTTGGTAAATGAATTGACCCTTTTACAAATACTAGTAGTCATATAAAAATGTCACAGCAATTTTTGGTTGATCATGAAAAGTCAAGAAATAAACTTTTCTTCTTGATAAAATGTCAAAAAAAAAATTCCAAGGTGAGTCAAAATTCTTTAGGGATTGCATTTGGGGTCATTCTGACCCCATTTGCAAGGACTTTAAGTAGTGATATAAAAATGTTATTTTTTTTATAACATTTGACCAGGAAATATGGGAATGATATTTTTGAGGCTCACAAACAAAAAAAAACATTTTTTAAGAAATACATGGAATATCAGACAATTAACTGATCTTTTTAAGATCACACTCTATCAGGGCAATATGACTCATTTAATGTATTCTAGTGTTAAAGATGCACAAAGTTTTGTAGATGTAGAGGAAATAAATGTTCATCCTGTGTAATAGGTTACTAGCTGTACATCAATCTGCATCACATCACAGGAAGCATTTGGACACAAATAGGTTAACACTACAACTAAGCTCGTTCCTGTGGTGGGTGATTGATTCCCCAATAGCAGACAGAGGGCAGCCTATCTTTGTTAGCATTCATCCAGGGTCATGGCAGGCCTAATTGTTCCATCAGTGGCAGTCTGGTCCAGCGGTAAAAGCATTTTGGTAAAAGGGAAATGAGGACAGGCAGCCTGTGCTTACTTGACCTGCTTTGTTCAATAAGCCCCGCTTAAAACTAACTCATTGAACTTGTCGAATGAACATTGATGCTGCTGTTTTAACCTCCAGCCTAAAGCTGGAAAGAACTGCAGACTCACACTGTTGTGCGAATGACAGTTAAGTTTAGTGCTGAAGAACCTTTAAAATATGTCCATCTGGATGGCATATCAGTTTTTGCTTTGCTATTGCTTTGTCTAGTTTTAAGCTTCAATCTCTAATAACTGGTGGGGGGTGAGGCGGTGAGTGCTAGAGATCCTAAGATTAAATATGCAGATCTGGAGGACATGCCGTTTATTGCTTTGCTGAGCCGAAGAAGAGTGCGTGTCTAGATGGACATGGAGATAAGCTAAGCGCTTAAATAACTCTACTGTAGTTTTGTTCCCTTGCATGGAAGGGGTGTGTCTTCTGCTGACTGTGTGTTAATATTCTCTCCACCCCCCTTCCTGTCTCACCTCTCTGGAGAAGAATATGTGTAGTCAGGCTTACCTGGTGGCGTAGTTTGTTTTGTGCTCAGCCTACTGGAGTCATCTGAATTTTTTTTCCCCACTTCTGTTTTGAAAGGAAGTAGTGACTGTGTCGTTGGGGTTTTTAAAGCGCTGTGGCTGCGTCCTCATGCCTTGGCTGGAGAAGATGAAGGTGCCCCACCATAATGCGCTTCACTGCTGTTTCCCTCAGGCCCTCAGAATGTTCCAGAGGAAGAAGAAGAAGAGGAAGATAGAGATCTCTGCACCCAAGAACTTTGAGCACCGGGTGCACACGTCGTTTGACGCTGTACGGGGCTGCTATGTAGGACTACCACCTCAGTGGCAGAGTGTCATAGAAACACTGAGGAGACCCAAGCCTGTGGTAGATCCCTCCACCGTCACACCTGTGCGGCTCAAGCAAGAGAAGGTACAGCAAAAATGTCCTGTCTTTGTCATTTTATCTGTTATCTGTTTATTTTATCTGTTTATGTTTAAAGGATTTACACCAGATGTACACCTGACCTCATTAGTGAGGTACTGATGTTGGATGATTAGTTTTGGATCCCAAAGATAGTGGATGGAGCTCTATCACTCCAGAGAACACAGTTCCACTGCTTCACAGCCCAGTGCTGGGGGGCTTTATACCTCTCTGTCAGACACTTGGCAATGGACATAGTGACCTTAGGCTCATGTGTGTCTCCTCCAGGCCATCCCATTCTATTGGCAGTGCTTTTCTATTGAGATTTTATGAACTGTTTGTGCACGGTTGAATGCCTGTGTCAGCAATAGGTGAACCTTAAAGTAGATAAATTCACTAAATAGGAAGGGTATCAGGAGACTTTTGGGCACACAGTGTATGTATCTTATAACAAAAGTGTAGCAGGTGTTGTTTGTCACCTTGGTCTGTCTCCTCCTGTTCTTTTTTCTTCTGTTCTGTTCTAAGTGCATTTTTTACACATTCATGCAAATCACCCACTTTATCTGTAGCAACACCTCAGATTTTCATTTGAATTGAATTCACTTTATGTTTTATATTGTATCTCTTACTGGCTGACTAGATAAGCACTCTTTATTCGTACCATTTGATAGATTATCCTGAAATACATGAACAAAATTTACACAATAGCCTAGGGAAATTCATAATTAGGACTGTAAATGCTTATGCAAAATCTGGAGTTTTTTAGCACAGAATAAATGGGCAAACCTGAAAGGCAACTTTTCTCTGTGCTCAAATGAAATCTGGTCTGAGCGGTGTCTGAACACACATAGTTGAATTTCATTGGGGAATTTGGCAGCATTGTTTTGATGCATGACATAGAAGTATTTCCTGAACCAGCTCATGCCTCCATGTGTCAGTCTGGTAGTTGCACAGCTTAAAAGAAAGCTCCAAAATTTAGTTTGATAGCTACTGTGTACAAAAACAATGGCATAACAGCACCTTAGCAACCATCTGGGAAAACATAGCAACTGCCTAGCAGCACCTTAGCAACTGCCTTGAATGCCATAGCAACAGCCTAGCAACACCATAGCAGCCACCTGGGATATCATGGTAACAGCCTTGAATCACCTTAACAATAACCTAGCAACACCTTAGTAACCATCTAGGACAGCACCACATTGTCTATATTTGTCTATATTTACTATGTTTTAAAGTGACCTTGGTTGTAAAAGAGATGCCATATAAATGAAACCTACTGCTATAATAATAATAATATTTACTGTTATTATTTTTCATACAGACCATTGTGCGGGGCAGTTTTATTGGACATGGAGACTACATCGCTGCAGCGATTGCTGAAATGACCCGCCTCTCTGTCACCAGCTCCAATTCGCTCAGGAGGACCAGCCCTTCGCTACGGAAACGAGCGCAGTCCATGGGCCGCCTCGGTGAGGTGCCCGAAGGGGACACATATCAGTATCAGGAACTAAACAAGAACAGACAGACAAATGGACAGCCTGTCCTGGACTGGCATGAAAGAGCACGGCAGGTATACAGTGAGGGTGGAAGTCCACGGCCTGGCGCCAAAAAGAGCGCCACTCTGCAGCCTAATGGGTTGCCACCAAGAGCCAAATCTATTATCGAAGTCAGCACGACGTCCAGTGAGCAGCCTCGGCTCATGCCAAGGGACATCTTATGTTCACCTGAAGCGGATCAAACAGAGAAGTATTCACACAGTGAGAGATTAAGGCTTCACCAGCCTGCTCTGGCTTGGAGAGACAGTAAGACCAACCCCAGACCTGTGTCCTGCATCTACAATACTCCTACATTAAACCAAGGGTCAAAGCTCAGCAATCCAAATCCAAGGATGACTCCAAGCCCAGAACTTCCTGCGGGCTCTGTGGACGCCCCTAGGAGGCCCTACTCCACATATGACTTGAAGGTGAGAGCACTCCTTCATTCTCTAAAGAACTTGTATAAACTTCTGTCCACTAAAGAATATTCTGCACTGTGAACTGTGAGTGGAAGTAAGAAAGTGACCATAGCTGGAAGTTCTTTGGGAAATTAGTATTGTTTTCATACATACCACAGATTTCTCTGTACAAGCTCTTGCCTCAAGGTGTTTGACTCACAGTTGTGCAGTTGTATGAAAACATCTGATTCACTGCTAAAAGGTTGTAGAGGAGTGCAGAGCATAGCTTAACACATTTTGAAAAGCACCAAGATAAAAATTCCTGGCCGATACCGAAACTGAAATTCAAGATATGCCTGGCTGAAAACCAAAACTGAAATTTTTTTTTTTTTTAAGTTTTGTTTATGCTTTTGAATAAACATAAAACCCACAAGGTAATAAAGAAAACACTCTTACATTGTTAAAATCTGGGTTCAATAGAACAAGACCCACCTGACAGTAAATAGTTTACAAAAAAATAAAACAACAGTTTACAAAAAAGTAAATAAAAAATCCAGCGATAACAGAGAACAGTAGATCATTTAAGCAATAAAGTCTATTATTTTTTAGTTATACACAGCACTGTGGCATTGTCATTTTAAAAATGTGTCTACAGTTGGTGGTATTGTGCTAGTGGAGACTCTCTGCTTCCGTTGTTTTGCTGTATTCTGTGTATCGAGTGGGATGTCATGTTTTCAGTCAGTATCAAAACTATAATGGAGAAGTTTTGGAGCGCTGTACCCTCTCTTATTTCTTAAGATGAACAGTGACTACAAATTGCTTCTTTAATGTCCCTCATAGAAACCATGCGACCTTTTTTTAATGTTGTATTACTACAGCTCCAACTGTTGAACACGTCTGTGCTGACTGGTGCTGTAGAACAAAGGAAACAACATTTTTTTTTATTTTCCATTCAAATTAGTAGTTTTGCACTTCACTGTAGTCTTTGAAAACCAGCCATTATTGGTTAAAATCGTTCTGTATCTAAATTCAGTGGATCCCTACATTTTGATTTTGGCTAAATAATTTATAATAATCATTGTCATACTGCTACTTAGTTGTAACATTCACTAGAAAAGTCTAGTAAATTTTTGCAAACACAATTAATTTAATGCAATTCTGTGTTGTTTGAAGCACATTGGCTTTCCAACCTAAATACAAGTATATATTCATCTAAATAAATGTGATTAGTGAAAGAGGCTGTGTCAAACACTGGCAAATTTATTCTTGACCACAAACTACAAAAGCAAATATCAGTATCAATTAAATTGAAACATTTTTTATTAACATATGACATACGTAGTGTGTTTTCATTCTGTGAATAAAAAGTTCTGAAAAAAAAATAAAGGCAGAGAAGTGGACTATGAACTGCTCTCATTGTTTACTTTGGCAGACTTTGTTGTGACACTGTTCAAACTAGGCCCACTATGTGGAGGCTGTACTTTAATCTGGCTAGCTCTCACTGTGCATTGTTTACCTGAATATGATGAAAGAAGTTACTTTCATGGTGCAAAAATGTTGTCAAAGGGGCTCCAGATTGGCTCAGCTCTCCCCCTATTGTGGAGAAATCTGAAGTTGAATCCCTTGCAATGCCACATCCATCTGTGGCTAGGAGTCCACGAGGACATAACTGTCCTCACTTTCTCTGGGTGGATAAGATGGCCCTCCTTTCATGCCATCACATAGCATGGTGCTAGCTGACCAGCGTGGGTGGCTGTTAGCTGATGTAACAGAATTAGCAGTTAGTGTTCTTCTCCAAGCATGTTGAGCTTTTTTTAAACGCAACACTGCTTGGGCTTTTTTTGCCTGCTCAAACTTATCAAACCTCAGAAATACAAAATGTCATGATGCACGTATCATGAAAATATCTTGAAGTATTGTAATGTTATGTTTTTTTGCCATATTGCCCCCCACTAGCTTCACGTGTCTCAGAAGAAGAATACTTTCATCCTCCTTGGTAGTGTTGTGTGATGGGGAGACCTAGCTAGTGGGTGGAATTGGTAATGACTAAATGGGGGGAAATATTGTGCAAACCATGTCAAGATTGTGACAGAATCTCAAGAAATATCTGTCAAGGTGATTTAAGAATATATCATATATGAATATGTTTGATAACATGAAAAATTGCCTCACCATCACATGTTTTACTTACTGTAGCTCCCTGACTGGTACAGTTGTCTTTGCTAGAGATGAAACTTGTCATTTGTTCTTTTCTGTTACAGACAAACTCCTTTGGTTTCTCAGCCATGTCAAAACCTAATGGCACCAGCAGCCCAAAACCAGGGCATGGCACACACTCCCACCCACCCCTACAGTCTTCCTCTAGCTATACATTAGGTTTTTCTCCTATCAAAGCCTCAGTGCCACCTATGCAGAACAGTCCCTCCCAGCCTCGGCCCTCCCCTACTGGCTCTCCTGCCACCAACCTGCCCGGAGCCTCCTCTCCCTGCTTGAGGACTGCTCAACCAGCCACCATCATCAGTGAGCAGCCCAAGATCACCCATGCACAGTTTAAGGCTGCTCTGCAAATGGTGGTGGACAAGGGAGACCCCCGCACATATCTGGAGAACTTTGTGAAGATTGGAGAGGGCTCGACGGGTGTCGTCTGCATCGCACGGGAAAAGCACAGTGGGAAACAGGTTGCAGTGAAGATGATGGATCTAAGGAAACAACAAAGAAGAGAGCTGCTCTTTAATGAAGTATGGCGTTCTGCATTATAGTTTTTCTTAACACACAATAGTCTATTCCACATAAAGTATACTACATCAACACGATTACTGCAAACGTAAGTAAACTGAAACATTGTGCATAAAATATATTTATGCATGTTGTCGCTGCCACACAAAAAAACTTTGTACACTACTTTTTTTTGCATAATCTGAAAACAATTGTTACCCTTTGCACTGTATTAAATCACGATGAATGGACCAATACAAGTGGTCACAAATTACTTGAAAAAAATCTTATTACATTGACTTGAGTTAATATTTTGTTTCAAGGAGTTTCAAGGTTTTGTTTTTGTCACTCTTGTAACAAAACCTTGGATTACTACTGCTACTAATGCTAATTTACATTAATGGTAACACAACAAGTTTTTATTTACCAAGAAATTTTGGACCTTTCTTATTGGTCTGTTTTGAACCACGTAAATTTTATGCATTACATTTTTCAGTGTACTGCCAGTCACCTGTCTCTTAAATGACTGGTTTAGCCCATTAATGTCCATATTGGTCCATAATTTTAAAATTCATTTGATTCATACGTTCAAACCACATGGCTGAAAAGTTGCAGCACTTTTTCTTCACTTCAGACCAATCAGAACTGTGCCCTGTGGTATGTTTCCTTACTATACTAAATGTAGATGTTGGACATGAAGTCTCTGAGTACAGAATTACCTGTGAATAAATTATGGACAAACATATAGATGTGAATTTCCAATTTCTTAAATGCTTAGGTGGTCATCATGCGGGACTACAGGCACAAGAATGTAGTGGAGATGTATAAGAGTGCTCTAGTGGAGGAGGAGCTCTGGGTCATAATGGAGTACCTGCAGGGTGGTGCATTAACCAACATAGTATCTGAAACCAGGTGAGAGAACCAAGAATGATGCATGATGTTTTAAGACCATGTGTAGCTTATTTAGGTTGTCAGAATTTCTAAATTAAGAGCATAATACCTCTAAAACATCTCTGCAGTATGTTTTGATTAATAGATTATTTGATTTGAATTTGATTAGTACATCAGAGAAGAGAGAGACCTTTCTATGTAAATTATAATGCAGCCTATTGTGTCAGACAACACATTTTACAACTGAGATTTGAACCAGAACACCTCTTTTCTAACTAAGACTACTTTAAGATAATGGAGGTAATTGATCATCAGTGGCATGGTCCTGTCCCAAGGAATGTAAGACTGCAGTTTTAAACTTTTGGTTACCAAAACTGGGCTAAACAGAAAACCAAGATACATGTTTACACAGAAATACACAGCTTAATCATTTTAAACGTTCAGTTCAGACACTCATTCTCATTCACATCTTCACCTGACTGATGACTCGGATGAACAACATTCCCAAGGACAATATCAAGGGACATTCTATACATAACAGTAGTTATAAGCATGCCAACTGCATATTTTTCATTTTCTCTGTATAATACCTGAATCAGCTCACGAAAGGCTCAGTAAGTGTTGTTACTCAGATTTGTTGGGTGGAAAAAAAATCCCAAAAAAGTATTGGATCCTCTAAAGTCAGGGATTGATTTAAGGGGGAAAACAAAGGGACGTCCACTTGATCAAAAAAAGATAATAACCATCCACTTTATAAAACTGCCATCCCCTCTTTCCATCCCCTTTGGATTAATGTCATTATATCACATACTACAATTAATATTTTAATTGTAGTTGAATTTCAAAGTCACACAGCAGGTTGCAATAAAATCCACAAAGCACAACAGTCACTGTGAGTTTGTCAAAGGTTTGCTTTATATTCATTTAGATTAGATTAATTGACCCTTATTAGTCCCACAATGGGGAAATGTCACCTCCACAATCTAACCCATCCGTGCGGTGAAACACCACATACACACTAGTCAGATGCCACTTATAACCCAAAAAAGTAGACATTCGTATACAAAGGTTTGAACATCCCCAGCCAAATTACATGTTTTGTTGATTTGCTAAGTGAAAATAAGTTAAAACATTCTCTTCAAGGAACAAACTTAAATATGGCATTTTTCTGCAATGTATTATTTATTTGCAGATTTTAACATGTTCAAAAAAAAATAAAACTTAAAATATAAAATATGCCACAATGTCAGCTGGGATTGCATTTTGTGTTTTATTTTCTTTTTTCCATTACATAAAATTCAACAAATAACAGTAATTGTGCGTTAAAATGTACAGAAGTGTGCTCTGTGGAGGATGTGTTAACTTCTTTTCATTTAAAAAAAATCAACAAAACATGTAGTTTGACTGGGGGTACCCAAACTTTTGCATACAATTGTACTCACAGTTTTTTACCACCACCTCACTGGCCTCCTTATCAGTTTGGCCACTGCCTGGAGTGTTTTATGCAGGGAACCAGTGTTCCAGCAGCTTGTTGACCACTATATATCTGGTGCATGTGTGTGCATGTGTGTGTGTGTGTGTGTGTGTGTGTGTGTGTCCATGCAGGCTGACAGAGGAGCAGATAGCTACAGTCTGTGAAGCGGTGTTACAGGCTCTGGCCTATCTCCATGCACAGGGTGTCATCCACAGAGATATCAAGAGTGACTCCATACTGCTGACACTGGATGGAAGAGTAAGTGTTATTTTACTGCAATAGCTGTATGTTTTTATCAGCATTCCATAAACAGCATTGATTTCTGAATGAGAATTTTGCCATTTTATTGGTTTATTTTATTTTGTCAGCCTGGTTGAAGTGGAACACAGTGAATTCATTCGTTCATTCATTCATTAGGACACTGGCTGTGTGGGCAGGGCTTGCATTTAAGACACTCACTGGTCTCAACAGAATACACTGATTTAAGCAAGTGTTGTTTGTAGCATGACTCACAGCATGCTGGCTTAGCCGGTTTCTGTGCAGATTATCAGCCTTTGACACCATGGTGTGGTGCTCAGTTTATTGAGAGTTAGAATTGAGAAAGGTTATGAATGGAGGCTGAAGGAGTGATACTACTTCATATCTGAGACATCACCTGATGTCATAAGTGGCTCGCTGCTATAAATAATGGTGCCTATGATGTGCACACATTGCTGGTTGGCGGGCAAAACTTATGGCCACAGGATCACAAACTTGTACAGACTCTCAATACCAGCCATAGTCTGCATTTGAAAAGTGAGATTACAGCATATAGGAGATTCATAGAGAGGGAGGAATGAGATTCACTCTGCCAATGACGTCTTACGGAGAGTAAACACAGTTTATCTGTGTGACATAATATGGTTGAAGTTCAGCAGTAAATGCAGTGAAAGCACCACTGACAGCACAAAGCAAGTCAGCAACATATGATCCCAGAAACACAGAAGTATTTCGTATGTTAACACAACATGGCTTTCAAATGGCACTTTATGAATTCTACTGTGTTCTTTTTTCCAAATGATTTTATCGGTAAATACATGCTGACTTTAAATGATATTTGATTATATTAAATCTATTGAACATCTACCTGGTGGTTTGTTAACAACCAAACTTTTTTAAATTAAAGAAGAGCAAAGAAGCTAGAATGTATTCTCTTCCTTCCAGATCAAGTTGTCAGACTTTGGATTCTGTGCTCAGATCAGCAAAGACATCCCAAAGAGGAAGTCTTTGGTCGGAACTCCATATTGGATGGCTCCAGAGGTCATTTCCAAAACCCCCTATGGAACAGAGGTAAAACAAAGTAGTAAGGCCTGATTCTGGAGTGGCTCTATTTCTCCATGTCTTTATATTGCCTGAAGTTGGGGCCATTAAATGATAATATTTAGATGCACTATATTTTCCAGATGTGTCCAGATGGGTCTTCACACATTTAACTACTATAAGGTGCACCCATTGCTGACACAGGTGTTCAATAGCGCATACACAGTTTGTATAATTTCCATAGAAAGGTTTTGCCAATAGAATGGGATGCTCTTGAGTGGCAGCACATGAGCCTACTGTCACCATGCCCAATGGCAGGCATCAGTTAGCGGGGTATAAAGCTTCTGAGCTAGTGCTAGAACTGGTGGTTCAGAACTATTTAGTGATGTCCGAACTATCCTGACACCATAAATGCTGAATGCAATGAAATCTTCATAGCAATGTTTAAACATCTAGTGTAAAGCCTTCCCAGAGGCTGTTACTACAGTAAAGGGGTACTAACTCCCCTTTAATTTAGACAAAACATTGGATGAGCAGGTGTCTGCCACCTTTGAACATGTAGTGTAATGTATATTAGCAGCTCTTACGCAGCTTTTTTAGGGAGGACAAAAAGCTGCCTTGTCAGGTCATCTGCAGCTTTACTGTCGGTGACTATTATTAAATCAAGGCCTGGGCACTATGCTTTGACACCCACTGATAATCCTTATCTCTTATCTCCAGAGTTATTTTCTGCCCTGGGTTGAAGAGCGGAGGGGTGTACCGGCACTTACTAGTCACCCCTTTCTTTAAGAATGTGCTTCTTCATAGTTTAGCATGTGTATGTATTTTAAAAAGGGTGAAAGGGAGATTAAAGCTAGACTAAAGAGAAACTCTGGCTGTTTTAGAGGTTTAATGTAGTTGTATTTGCAGGTGGATGTGTGGTCTCTGGGCATTATGGTGGTGGAGATGGTGGATGGGGAGCCTCCTTATTTCAGTGACACACCAGTAGCTGCTATGAAGAGGTTAAGAGATGAACCAGCACCTTCTGTCAGGAACTCAAGCAAGGCAAGACTGGAAGAACACAAGCAAACCCTTTTTCTATAACTTTTATAAAGCTTTTTCAAAATCTGTGTAGTAGAAACAGCTGTATATATTATCACATGTAGAACAGTCACATTTTGAAAGAAATTTATGTGATACACATTCAAAACAGAAAAATAAAACAAAGACTTGCCTCTTGAATTGTCATAATCAGGTAAAAAAAACCTATGAATCATGTCTGCTAAAGCATGTGAAACAAGGAACAATTCACCAATTTACCAACATATTATGAACATTTATTTAGACACTTGGATACTATCATATAGATATGTATAAAGTAATTATTGTAATTAGGTAAAAGAAGTGAGTTCAGCCTCTTGATACTGTCTTTATCTGTCTTAGTAAGATGCAATGTCATCTAATGCGTCACATAATTCAGTTATTTATTTGTTTCATTTAAGAAAAAAAAAGCTTGCCTTACTGTCAAAATATAGTTTAAAGTAAACAACAAAAACAAAGACATTTATTTCATTCTTTTTTGGTGACACTTCACTTGAACCTTGCTACATAACTTTGACATAACAATGTCATAAACGTGTCATTGCAGATGTCATGTGCTGTCATGAGCTGCCATGACAGATTTTGTTCAGTAATATAGATACCAATATAGATAAATGTCATTAAAGATGCTATGATGTTTGATGTCATGGCAGCTTATGTCACATGCAGAATTTTTCTGTGAACTTTGGTTAGCCACCTCTGTTGCGACAATTGCTGGTAATGATAACATGACACTCTTATCATGACAACATATGCCATGACATGTTTATGGATTGGTTATATCAGTGTAGTGTAGCAGTGTTCAAGTAAAGTGTTCCCCCTTGTTTAAACTCATATACCAGGAGTGCTAATAATTCGGGCACTAGAGGGCAGACTATTTCATTTGTGTAACACTTGAATCTATAATATTGGGAGCTGTTTGTTGTTGTGTAGTTGTAGTCATGATCATGAATCTTTTTTTCCGCTCCTCAACAGATCTCACCAGTGCTGAGGGACTTTTTGGACTCCATGCTGACCAGGGACCCTCTGCAGAGAGCGAGTGCCAGTGACCTGCTTAAGCACCCTTTCTTGCTGCAGAGTGGCTCCCCGCGCTGCCTGGTGCCGCTGGTGGAGCAGTACCGGAAACGCATGTCTTTCTGTTGAGCAGTTCAAGCTCAAATAATGGAGGTTTATTTGGAACACTATAAACTGACTTCCCTGCTGCACATGTCTTCTGTGACATACTGCATTCACACTGGATTGTGAAGTGCTTCTGCTTGCAGTGATCTCCAACTCCACCATATTTTTTATGTATATACTTTATGTATGTCAGTGGTTCCCAATAATGGTCCTGGAGTACCACAGATTCACCTTTTTTTGATATTGTCTACATGATTCACTGGAACCACTGCCTGTTTTTTGCAACAGTTCATTAAAGTTAAATTCCAGATTTTGGAATTTAGTTTTGTAAGTATGAATAAAAAAATAAGCAAATAAATATCTCAGTTAAGACATGCCGTCATTGTACAGGATTTTCTGTTTGATAAAATAAATAAAAATTGAAGCTTAATGTCTCATTTCACTCTATTTGTGTACTATTGTGTATGTTTATAACCAGTTAATGGAACGTATTTTATTTTCACCAAGAGTAAATTACTACTATGTACAGCTCAGTTGTACATAGTACTGTCTGTTACACTGATTTCACAATATATTCAGCAATTAATAAATTTTCAGTAACACTTTACACTTAGGATACATTCAATAGCATTATTCATGCATTACATCATGAGTGAGGAATCATTAGTTTATACATGTGGTGTATAGTCTCTTGCATGCTAACCATAGAACTGAAAATTCTTGTTATATGAGGTTGTGGCTCTTCATTCAGTCTTTCCAACATGTAGGTGTTGACAACCTTGAAGACTTGTACGAACACCAAGAATAACTCAACTGATAATATTGGTACCTTACAGTTTAATGCAAACATTTTAGGCACCCTGGTCACGTTATATGTTTTGTTTTGAAAATAAGTAAAGACCTTCTTTAGAGACCACACTTCACTTCAAAAATCAACAAAACAGAATTGACTATGGGTGTTCAAACTTTTGCATATGACTGTAATTATTACATTAGTTATTATATTGTTACTGCCTTAAGGCATGCAAGAAACATGGTTTTCACACCATATGCATATTCATGATGACTCCTGATACATTATATGTATGAAAGAATGATTAATACTATTTCATGTACCTTTCATTGTAAAGTGTTACCATTTTCTATTAAACCTTAATTGTACAATTTTCTTATTCTGTCTTGGTAATGATCTGGTTTCAGTTTTTACTTTAAAACTAAAATAGTGTTCTAGTAAAATGGCATGTATTTATTTGAAACTGATCTTGAGACACGTGTAATACATATGACCATATACCCAGTGGAGTGGTTTGTAATTACGTCTGCTCATTCGTTCTATTTAAAGAATGTTCTATTAAATCACTCACAGCTTCCTGGAGGCATTTTGAGCAAACAAGCTTGTTTTTTTTTCTTTTTACACACTGTAGAATGTAGTCTTGGGAGCATTCAGTTAATTACAGTTAAATATTTCCCTTAACCTACTTTTAGCGGTAAACTTAAGTTATTGTTATTACTGTTGAATCATACACCATTGAGAAAGATAAACTGGTCCTGTATGCATAAGGCATAGCAAAACTTACAAGCAAGAAACACTGTCTGTACATTTAGCCCTTTACAAAGAGCTGATAAGGCAACACTGTCTTATCTGAATTTTCCAAAAGGCCCTTTGTGGATTCAAGAATGCAATGGGCAATTGGGTTGGAAATCAAAGGTTTCATTCTGTAAAGCTTATACATAAATAAGAACAAAAGGCTAGAGAAGTACATGGAGAATATTTATTAATAATACACAGCAGAAACACAGCATTCTCTGGGTTCCACATTTTGCTTCACTTTTTCTATTTTCCATCATAATGAATGACACAAAATAAGTTTTAAGTTTACAAAAGCTATCACAGCCTTTACTGCCGCAATATATTAGCATATTTAAACATAATCAATAATAGAAAAGCAAAAATCCAGCATCAATGGAACAAAGCTTGTACATTTCGTGTAATATAACAACAGGGATATCTTTTTTGTACTGTGTACACCAGCGGTACAAAGGATTAAAGCACATAAGAGGGAAGGGCTGACATTCATACATGAGTACTATTTTGAAGGTGTTGTTACACAGGGATGATCTGAGATGGTCTGTACTTTGAGAGCTATGAGAAGTGTCTGTGGCATCTATCAGAAGAACCTTTGATAAAGGAGGTGTTCTGCCAACGTGTTAGTATAAAATCCTGCTAAAAGGTAGGCATTTTGATTCATTTGTCAACATGGATAATTCAAATGTGTATTAATAATAAACTGAGATAGAAATGTTTGGAATGTCTATCAGAGATGAACCATGGAAAGAGACAATCAGGGAGGTGAGAGTTGTCCTTAAAAGGACATTAACAGCTAAAGGTCCTCTTACTGCCCCCACACCACTTACGAGCCTTGATAAAAACTTCCCTTGCCGTTTATGCTCCCCTTCTTGCTCAAGGTGCCAGGAGATGCATCCTTATTTGGAACTCAGGCATCCTTTATAAAGAGAGACCAGCACTGACCCTCTGAGTATTCTACAGTTCATCCTAGTCCCATCTTCAGCTCTGCGTTTACTGATTCTCTGTGCATCTGTGGAACTCAAGAGATCACAATGGGTGATGCTATAATGGCAGAGTTTGGAAAAGCAGCTCCCTACCTAAGGAAGTCAGAGAAAGAACGACTTGAAGCTCAGACAAGACCTTTCGACATCAAAACTGAATGCTTTGTGGTGGATGAAAAAGTAGAATATGTCAAGGGTCAAATCACCAGCAAGGAGGGAGGGAAGGTGACCGTTAAGACAGAGGATGGGAGGACCGTAACTGTCAAAGAGACAGACGTTCATCCTCAGAACCCACCTAAATTTGATAAAATTGAAGATATGGCGATGTTCACTTTCCTACACGAGCCTGCAGTGCTGTTTAACCTCAAAGAGCGTTATGCAGCCTGGATGATTTACACTTACTCAGGGTTGTTTTGTGTAACAGTCAACCCCTACAAATGGCTGCCTGTGTATGATGCGGAGGTTGTTGCTGCTTACAGAGGTAAGAAGAGATCAGAAGCTCCTCCTCATATCTTCTCCATTTCAGATAATGCTTATCAATACATGCTAACTGACCGGGAAAACCAGTCTGTCCTCATCACTGGAGAATCTGGTGCTGGGAAGACTGTTAACACCAAGAGAGTAATCCAGTATTTTGCAAGTATTGCAGCTGCTGGTGGTGCTGCCAAGAAGGACTCCAACAAAGGCACCTTGGAGGACCAAATCATTCAGGCCAATCCTGCACTCGAAGCCTTCGGAAATGCCAAAACAGTGAGAAATGACAACTCGTCTCGCTTTGGAAAGTTTATCCGCATTCATTTTGGAACAAGTGGTAAACTGTCTTCAGCTGACATCGAAACATACTTGCTGGAAAAGTCACGTGTGACCTTTCAGCTAAAAGCAGAAAGGAACTACCACATCTTTTTCCAGATATTATCCAACGCAAAGCCTGAGCTGCTGGATATGCTGTTGATTACAAATAATCCCTATGATTACTCTTACATCTCCCAAGGAGAGGTAACTGTTGCAAGTATCAATGACAGCGAGGAGTTGTTAGCTACCGACAATGCCTTTGATGTGCTTGGCTTCACTCCAGATGAGAAGATGGGAGTCTACAAACTGACTGGTGCTATCATGCATTATGGCAATATGAAGTTCAAGCAGAAGCAGCGTGAGGAACAGGCAGAGCCTGATGGTACAGAAGCTGCTGACAAATCAGCCTACCTAATGGGGCTGAACTCTGCAGATCTTCTGAAAGGACTCTGTCATCCAAGGGTCAAGGTAGGAAATGAGTATGTCACGAAAGGTCAAGGCGTGGATCAAGTGTACTACTCACTTGGTGCGCTGGCAAAGGCAGTGTATGAGAAGATGTTCAGCTGGATGGTGGCAAGAATCAACCAGTCCCTTGACACAAAACAGCATCGGCAATATTTCATTGGTGTACTAGATATTGCTGGATTCGAAATCTTTGATTTCAACACATTTGAGCAGCTCTGCATTAATTTCACCAATGAAAAACTGCAACAGTTTTTCAATCACCACATGTTTGTCTTGGAGCAAGAGGAGTACAAAAAGGAAGGAATCGACTGGGAGTTCATTGACTTTGGGATGGATTTGCAAGCTTGCATTGATCTGATTGAAAAGCCCCTTGGGATCATGTCTATTTTGGAGGAAGAGTGCATGTTTCCAAAAGCAAGTGATCAGACCTTCAAAGCAAAACTGTATGATAATCATCTGGGTAAGTCAAACATATTCCAGAAACCACGTGTTGTCAAGGGCAAGGCAGAGGCACACTTTGCATTGGGTCACTATGCTGGCACTGTTGATTACAATATTACAGGATGGCTTGTAAAAAACAAAGATCCATTGAATGAAACAGTAGTTGGGCTGTACCAAAAATCCTCTCTCAAGCTTCTAACTCATCTATTCTCAAGCTATGCAGGAGCAGAAGCAGCTGAAAAATCAGGGAAAGGGGCTAAAAAAAAGGGATCATCCTTTCAAACAGTGTCTGCCTTGCACAGAGAAAATCTTAACAAACTGATGACCAACCTCAGAAGCACTCACCCTCATTTTGTTCGCTGTTTGATTCCCAATGAGACCAAGACTCCAGGAGCTATGGACAACTGCCTTGTGATGCACCAGCTTCGCTGTAATGGTGTGCTGGAGGGTATCAGAATTTGCAGGAAAGGCTTTCCAAACAGGGTGCTCTATGGTGATTTCAAACAGAGGTACAGAATTTTAAATGCATCAGCTATCCCAGAAGGCCAGTTTATTGAAAACAAGAAGAGTGCTGAGAAACTACTAGGATCACTGGACATTGACCATACACAGTACAAGTTCGGCCACACAAAGGTCTTTTTCAAGGCAGGTCTGCTGGGTACCCTAGAGGAGATGCGAGACGAGCAACTTGCCCGCATTATTACAAGGATACAAGCTAATGCTCGGGCTCTGCTTATGAGGGCAGAATATCAGAAGCTGGTAGAACGCAGAGATGCCCTAATGGTCATTCAGTGGAACCTTCGCTCTTTCCTGAGTGTTAAAAACTGGCCTTGGATGAAAATGTTCTTTAAGATAAAGCCCCTACTTAAGAGTGCTGAGGCCGAGAAAGAGATGGCAAACATGAAGGATGAATTCAATAAATTAAAAGATGCTCTGGATAAATCTGATGGCCGTAGGAAAGAGTTAGAAGAGAAAATGGTCACACTTCTTCAAGAAAAGAATGATTTGCTTCTCCAGCTGCAATCGGAGCAAGATACGCTGACAGATGCTGAGGAACGCTGTGAACAGTTGATAAAAAGCAAGATTCAACTGGAGGCTAAAGTAAAAGAGCTGACTGAGCGAATTGAAGATGAGGAGGAGATAAATGCAGACCTCACAGCCAAAAAACGCAAGTTGGAGGATGAATGCTCTGAGCTTAAGAAAGACATAGATGACCTTGAACTCACACTAGCCAAGGTTGAGAAAGAGAAGCATGCCACTGAGAACAAAGTGAAGAACCTCACTGAGGAAATGGCCTCCCAGGATGAGATGATTATGAAGCTCACAAAAGAGAAAAAAGCTCTACAGGAGGCTCACCAGCAGACATTAGATGACCTTCAGAGTGAGGAGGATAAAGCAAATACTTTGTCAAAAGCCAAAGCTAAGCTTGAGCAGCAAGTTGATGACCTTGAGGGATCCCTTGAACAAGAAAAAAAGGTTAGGATGGATCTTGAACGTGCCAAGAGAAAGCTAGAGGGAGATCTGAAAATGGCTCAAGAGAATACAATGGATTTGGAGAATGATAAACAGCAGCAGGAGGAGAAACTGAAAAAGAAAGACTTTGAAATATGTCAACTGAATGGAAAGATTGAGGATGAGCAGATGGCTGTGGTGCAACTACAGAAAAAATTAAAAGAAAACCAAGCTCGAATTGAGGAGCTAGAGGAAGAGCTGGATGCTGAGCGTGCAGCCCGTGCAAAGGTGGAGAAACAGCGTTCCGATCTCTCACGAGAATTAGAAGACATTAGTGAACGTCTTGAAGAGGCAGGTGGAGCCACATCTGCTCAGGTGGAGCTCAACAAGAAAAGGGAGGCTGAGTTTCAGAAGCTGCGCAGGGATCTCGAGGAATCTACTCTTCAGCATGAAGCCACTTCTGCTGCTCTTCGAAAGAAGCATGCTGATAGTGTGTCCGAACTAGGAGAACAAATTGACAATCTGCAGCGTGTTAAGCAAAAGTTAGAGAAAGATAAGACAGAACTGAAGTTGGAGTTGGATGACTTGGCCTCAAACATGGAGAGTATAGTGAAAGCCAAGGTGAATCTTGAAAAGATGTGCCGTTCACTGGAGGATCAAATGAATGAATATAGGGCCAAAGCTGAGGAGGCCCATAGAGCTCTTTCTGACTTCTCAACGCATAGAGCCAAGCTGCTGACAGAAAATGGAGAACTTGGACGACAGTTGGAGGAGAAAGAATGCCTCATCTCGCAACTTACAAGAGGAAAGAGCTCTTATACCCAACAACTAGAAGACATGAGAAGACAACTTGAAGAAGAAGTGAAAGCAAAGAATGCATTAGCACATGCTGTGCAGTCTGCTCGTCATGACTGTGACTTGCTAAGGGAGCAGTTTGAGGAGGAACAGGAGGCAAAAGCAGAACTCCAGCGGGCACTGTCAAAGGCAAATACCGAAGTCGCAACCTGGCGAGCTAAGTATGAGACTGATGGTATTCAGAGAACAGAAGAACTAGAGGAGGCGAAAAAGAAACTTGTTCAAAGACTACAAGAGGCAGAAGAGGCAGTAGAAGCAGTCAATGCAAAGTGTTCCTCTCTTGAAAAAACTAAGCATCGGCTGCAAAATGAGATTGAAGATCTCATGCTAGATCTTGAACGCTCAAATGCGGCTTCTGCTGCTCTGGACAAGAAACAGCGGGCCTTCGACAAAATCATCGCAGAGTGGAAGCAGAAGTATGAGGAGTCACAGTGTGAACTGGAAGCATCCCAGAAAGAAGCACGAAACCTCAGTACCGAACTATTCAGACTGAAAAATGCTTATGAGGAATGTCTTGATCAACTTGAGACTATCAAACGGGAGAACAAAAATCTGCAAGAAGAAATTTCAGACCTGACAGATCAGCTTGGTGAAGGAGGCAAGAGTGTTCATGAACTTGAAAAACTTAGGAAACAACTGGAACAAGAGAAAGCAGAGCTGCAATCAGCACTGGAGGAAGCTGAGGCCTCTGTAGAGCATGAAGAGGGCAAGATCCTGCGGGCCCAGCTTGAGTTCAATCAGGTAAAAGCTGACATTGAAAGAAAGTTGGCAGAGAAGGATGAGGAGATGGAGCAGGCAAAGAGGAACTACCAACGAATGGTAGAATCCCTACAGTCCTCTCTTGAAGCAGAAACAAGAAGCCGCAATGAAGCATTGAGAGTCAAGAAAAAGATGGAGGGAGACCTCAATGAGATGGAAATCCAACTAAGTCAGGCCAACAGACAGGCAGCTGATGCCCAGAAACAACTGAAGATAGTCCAGTCATATCTGAAGGACACTCAGCTTCAACTGGATGATTCTGTTCACATGAATGATGATCTCAAAGAGAACTCTGCCCTCTTAGAACGCAGAAACAACCTCCTTCAAGCAGAGCTTGAGGAGTTAAGGGCCGTGGTGGAGCAAACTGAGAGGGGGCGCAAACTAGCTGAGCAGGAGCTTACAGATGCAACAGAGAGGACGCAGCTACTGCATTCTCAAAACACTAGCCTTCTCAATCAAAAGAAAAAGCAAGAGGCTGATTTGCTACAACTTCAGACTGAGATGGAAGAAGCCATACAAGAGAAACGCAATGCTGAAGAGAAGGCAAAGAAAGCCATAACTGATGCAGCTATGATGGCTGAGGAGTTGAAGAAAGAGCAAGACACCAGTGCCCATCTTGAGAGAATGAAAAAGAACATGGAGCAGACAATTAAAGACTTGCAGCACCGCTTGGATGAGGCTGAACAAGTAGCTATGAAGGGTGGGAAGAAACAGCTCCAGAAACTGGAAGCGCGCATACGTGATCTTGAGAATGAGCTGGAAGCAGAGCAAAAACGAGGTACCGAGTCCATAAAAGGAGTTCGCAAGTATGAACGCCGCATTAAGGAACTCACCTATCAGACAGAAGAGGATCGTAAGAATATGGCAAGACTTCAAGATTTGGTGGACAAGTTACAGCTGAAAGTGAAGTCATACAAGCGCTCTGCAGAGGAAGCTGAGGAGCAAGCAAATGTCAACCTGGCCAAGTTACGAAAACTACAGCACGAGCTGGAAGAGGCAGAGGAGCGTGCAGATATTGCAGAATCCCAGGTGAACAAGCTGCGTGCCAAAACTAGGGATGGTGTGCCTGGTAAAAAATCCCAGGATGAGTAACATTAACGTCACTAAAAACGCACCCTGATTGTGCAAGTGTCTAATTACTGTTTGTTTATCAGTTTAAATGTCTAGATTGTTTGTAATAAAGTCAAAGACACTAAACATTTACAAGAATTGCTGCATTATACAGCATTTAATACAATTTAAGATTGGAATGTTTTCAAATTGATACTTTTAAGAACCTGAAAGTATTTTATGTCATTCTGTAGCTTGTAAAATGATATGGGAGCATTTAATCATTGTATTTTTATCTAAGTATTATTTTTCATTCCTAAAAATCCTATGGAAAAAAAAAGTTCCTGATGTACTCTATGATGCCTTCCTTAAAACACGGAACAGTTGTCTCTTCTGTAGTAGTAAACACCACCATTGCACAACCTTGTTTTCAGTCTGGATCTGATTTTGACTGGTTTCTTGATGAATCATCTTTAAATTGTTTGCTTCCCTTCTAATTGCAAGTTCAGCCTGGGTTTTAGCTCTGTCTTTATCAATACTGGAAGTGTTAAGCAAACAAATAAATAAATATTTCAGTAAATCAACTCAATAAAATGCACCATTACTAGAATATATATATGTACATAGTAGAGCATGTAGAAGTATATACAAAAATAAATTGTTGTCATATTCCTTTATTTTCACATTGCATTTAACTTGAGATGACCCATACATGAGTTAGGTCAACTACATTTCACAAGAAAATAATAAATCTAGCAAGCTACCTCTTTAATACAAAAATAAGAGGCAATCTATGATACTCAACCTGTCACCTTTAACAGCTGAAAACTACCCTTTATCAAAAAAACCCTACACACTTAAAAAAGATGGTTCTTCAAGGGTTCTTTAGTAAAGACAATGGTTCTATTTAGAACCTTGAGTTCTATATAGAACTATTTCAGACCTAAATGGTTCTTCAGATTGATGGAGAATGAGCTGTATATAGTTCTATATAGAACCATTTTTGAAAATGCTTCCTTATAGCACCAAAAAGTGTCCTGCTATTGTTTTAACATCAAGCTTGTAACAACAGAAGAACTCTTTTTGGTGTTGTATAGAACCATATACCACCCATTCTCCATCAACCTGAAGAACCATTTCACCATGCAGAGAAACCATTTAAGCATAAAAGAACCCCTAAAGAACCATCTTTTTTAAGTGTGCAGAGCATTTACTTAGATGTTCATTTAACATTTCAAAACACTAACCTAACATTTTTAGGTAACAAGTAAAATGGATTACATCCTCGCTCTCTATAGCTCAGGTTTCAATGGAATATGTAATGTGCACATGACGTGCAACATACAAGTATCACCTGATGAGAGGTTTTAAACACAGCAGACTTTCACCTTTACAAAAGTGCATTACAGTTTCTCTGATAACCCACTACAATGCGGTTTCTACTAGAAGCCATGATTGTCATGGGATTTCATTCCTCTTTCTCCATAGAAAGTCCAAGTCCATCTTTGTTTCTTTTCCTTCTTTCTTTTCTTTATATTCCAGTATCCAGTATCAAACTTACAATTCCTCTCCATCAAAAAGCAATGGGTAATCTTTGATGTTCACATATAATGTAAGAAAAAAAATGTTTGTTATACAACAGGGCTGGGACAAACTACATGCTTCGGGCAAACCAGACACAATATTTGCCTGTAATACATAATAATACATTTTTTTTATTGATTCAAAGGTAATATGCCGATACCACAGTGACCATGGTTATCTTAAGAAATGACAAGTCTCAAGCTTCAATAATGGAGTTCTTTTATACAAAAAAATTGCATCCATTTTGAATAGCAAAAGACAGCCTGTGCAAGGAGGATTTCGCAAACCCTTTATGTCTCATTCATGTGCACTGAATGACAGAACTTGGTTCATTGTCAGTATTCTTCCAGTATTTAAATACTTTAGTAGCTGGGCTACAACATTTTTTAGAAAGCTTAGCTTTATGGGCATCTCTAACTATTTATAAACATATTTTTGTAACAATCATCAAGATTGATTACTGCAATTGAAAACAGGTATGGGATTTCAGGAAATCTCCATCCATACTACATTCATAGTAATTTTATGCAAAAGCAACTAATAATTCTTTTTGGTTCAGTGTATCGATTTTTTCCTTGGGAAGGTGGGGGACGTTCTCTATTTGTAAGCAGTTAAACACTATGGACGAAAAGGGTGTATTCACTTTTTAAGCCTGTATTATACAAACAAGTAAGCATCGTATAGTGCACTTTTTAAGTCTGGATTTAACATCTGGATTGTGAACTACTGTACTTGACGAGGTAGTATTTCTGTAATTGCCATTTACAGTAATGTGGTTAGTAACGGGACGCAGGTGTTGGTAACTTACAATGCTACAGTAATTCAAGCCTCTTTGTCGCAGTGTGCAATATCAATGCCAGCAGCAATACTTGAACTTTTGCTGTGTAAAAAAAGGGGAGAGGCAGAGATGACTCTTGCAGACAGTGGTTTTAAAATCAGATTTCCACCAACTTCCTTTTGACTTAATTTGTGTTCTTATAAGGCAGGAAAAAAAGAATATGTACATACAATCAAAATTAGCAAATCCCTTTGCTAAAAACCTTTTTTTCCCTTTTTACCACAATAAAAATATGTACAAATGCAGTTTTACACTGCACAAGTCATTTATACTGTTGTTTACAGACTGAGTGGTTGCCATTCCATCAACAGAAGGCAGATGTGCACTCTGTGATTCTGCTTTTCAATTTGCGACTTCTAAGCAACAGGTGTCATCATGCCCCCAAGCACAAGTATACACACCAGCCCCATTAATAACAGAGACCGTATCACAGGCTGGATGGCTGCACTTGCTGCTGTAATGCAGCATGGTGTTGAGGGGCAGGTTCGCAGTCTTTGGGCCCTTCGTCTTGGCGTACATACATGAGGAATAGTGTTACAGTGGCAAAAGTGGCTGCATTGACAGGGAATGCTCTGAGTAGAGTGGAGGTCAGGCCACGCGTGAACACTCGCAAGCCCTCTCGCTCTATGCTCTTCCGCGTACAGTCCATAATACCGCTGTACTGGAACTTGCCTCCAACACCATCTGCCTGCAGTCGAGACTTAATCACATCCACTGGGTATGTAGAAAGCCATGAAGCGATGCCTGACATGCCTCCAGCAAACAGTAGTTTAGGAATCATGTAGGGGTCTTCTGGCTCACAGCCTAGTGAACGTGTCAGCACATCATAGGCCAGAAAGTACACCCCGAAACCTGGCGTCTCACGGATGAGGGTGGTGACCATGCCCCTGTTGACACCCCTCAAGCCCTCACGCTGGTATATGCGTGCCAGGCAATCCAGGGAGTTTTTGTAGACCTTGCGAGTGGATGACTTTTTCTCACCAGTACCTTGCATCTGCATGCGCGTCTTGGCCAGCTCCATGGGACAGCAAATGACGCACTGAATAGCCCCAGCAGCTGCTCCTGCCAGGAATTGGTTTATGGGCGTGTCTTGGCCCAGCAGACGCATTGTGTTCCCCTGCACACCAAAGACGATGGCGTTGATGAAAGTGAGGCCCATCATAGGAGAACCAATGCCTTTGTAAAGCCCCAACATCTGCAGAAAAAAAAACAATGAGGAGTGACTTTATGCTATTTCCCTCACGTACTATGCTACCACCAATCCTATGTCCTCCTGGTCATTTTATGTGTCTTAAGTATCTGGATAGAGATTATCTACAAAAAATGTGATTAATGCACCTAAAATGACATTTAAATCCAATTGCTCAAACCACTTCAGAAGATAGTCTGAGATTAATTTTCAACAGCTGTTATACAACTCTCAATGCATCCATCTCCCCAAGCCACAATGACTGAGTTTCTCCTCCAAGTTCAATCAAGTAGCCTACTTCACAAGCCTGCATGTCAAGCTAGTTAGCTTAAAAAAGCATCAGCTTGGATGATTCTTCGCTTCACCTGGCCGTTATCTCGCTAAAATACTTTACGATTTAAGGTACATGGTCCATGACCTACACACCACTGTAGTCATGCGTCATTCTGTAGTCCTCATTATGCCCATATTAGGAATTCTGGGTCTAAGCTCCATTTCTCTATGGCCAGAATGAACAGGGTTTTCGAAAAAAACGCCTCTATCGCCCCCTGTGTTAAATAAAAATGTTCAGAACCAGATACGTTTTGTCCTGTATACGTTTTTCTCCCGAATACCACTGGATCTTCCGAATTACAAGGTAGTTAAAGAGCTATAATACTAATATTGCTACATGCGAGTTTAAGTTACTGCGTATCAATTTGATGTCACTAAGCTACACGAAACTAAGGCGGGCTGTGGCAGTGCTCTTATCAAAATCTTCTACTGTAGCGCATAATTACAGGTATAGTTAGGCTAAAACTCCTTATCAAAAGTACTACCTGTGTCAGAGGCTGAATTAAGCTTCTTTTTTTCGCAGCTTCTTGATTGAATATTCCTGCTCCCTTAATTGGTGCAGCAGCTCTGAGTAGCTATCACAAACATTAGCAAACGAGACAAAATACTGACCTGTCGGTTCTGTGAAACAGCAAAATTAAGTGAATGTTACTCAGTTGTTAAGCGGAAATAGAGCAACCTCCTCATATCATGCCTTTCAACCCTCCATGAAGCTGAAGTCAGCTTCTTTTTCGCCCGGCTTTTTGTTTGAATTTTCCTGTTCCACCTTAAATGGCGCAGCAGTTCAGAACGTGACTGCTGCACTATTTAAGGTGGAACGGGAAAAGTCGAACAAAGCTGGCAAATGTCCTGAGAAAATGACCTTAGAAAAATGTTACCAGCATTGAAACAATAATTAGGATATTCTGAAAGACCTCTTTTCATCTGCCCTCAGTCTGTACATGGAAATGTACACTGACAAAACCTGCTTAAGGAGGCTGCCAGTCTAATGACGTGAATTCAGTGCGCAGTAGCTTTAGCTTACATGTAGCAATATTCATATTTCAACTCTTTACCAACCTCAAAATTCAGAGGATCCAGTGGTATTCGAAAGAAGAATGTTCACAGGACAAAACGTATCGGGTTCTGAACCTTTTTATGTAACAAAGAGTGCGACAGAGGTGATTTTTTGAAAACCATATTCATTCTGGCCATAGAGAAATGGAGCTTAGACCTAGAGTTCCTATTATGGGCATAAGAGAATGGCATCGATTACAAAATTACTACAGTGGTCTATAATTGATTACTCTAAACAGGCATAAGGAAATGCAAAACTGTGATTTCTGAACTGTGTGACAACAATCATCTTTTGAAAAAAACAGGAAAAATAAAGAGCAAGACAGGCAATAGGATGTTGTACATGAGCTAATTTGGGTATTACACACGATATATCAGTCGGTTTTTAATCTGACTAACCACAGACGCGTTTAACCACATGTGGTTCAAATCTTATCAGGTTACAATCTAGATAATAGCTGCATGAAACGACCAGCTGTAAACAAAAGCACACTGTAATCTCTAGGTATACTAAATGTCATTCATTTTCTTTTAGTGAATGAGTGATTCAGATTGCACTCTGCAGAGTGAAATTATACCAGATCTAGACATCGTAGTTAACATCAAACCAGCTTGGCGGTATACATTACCTAAAAATTTACTTCTAGGAAGGCGATTTAATTGCTGACTGATTCAATTACAGGCACTGTTGATATCAAAACCATGAAATGCCTTAGCTTTTTAGTTTAACACAACATTAAAGCACTGTTGAGGTACTTACTGATTCTTGCCGTACGATGGACTGGAAACAGTGAAAGGTTCCCCTGTAGAGAGGCTTGTCTGCACTCTGCACTTGAAGCCTGACCTGTGACAAAGAAAATGCAGAAATAAGAGGAAAGACTGAGTCTCAAAAGTGACAGAGATAAGAAATTTAACCAACATTGTGAAATTATGGAACCAGACAGAGGCATGTTGGTCAATTTGACAAATTGAAGTTAAAGTAGGATACAGGTTTAATGAATAATCTCTTAAAAGGGTGCACTGATCTAACATTTTCTAATGATTTTGCAGTGGCTGCCCTTTGTTTAAATTTAGAGGGGAGGAAATCAGACCACATCACTAAGAAGTTGTGAGAAAGCTTCAACAAAAGCATTGACATAAACCTACAGTAACAAAGAGAAAAGAAGAGTAAAAGAGAAAGAAAATGCAATCTTTGGATTCACCTGCAATTTATTTTACAATGCCTTTCACTATTTCCTCTTGAGAGAAAATAAACAAAGAACTACACTGAAGCCAATATGTGCTAATTTTATCAGCTTCCTTAAAGCAATCTCAATAGTAACATGACCAATTCATATACTAATATCTGAATAAAAAAGATGGCAGAATATTGCAATAAATGGTTTTGTGCGAGTATTTATAGTACGTAGATGCTAGTCAATTCACTGACCAAGAATATTGCCTACTTATTTTCATGATTTACTGGTGAGAAAATGTAGGGCAAAGTGGCATGCGTAAAATAAAAGGAGAACACGTTGTGGTTAGATCAGATGAGTAATGCATACGCTTTATGGGAAGAGCTAAGCTATTATTCATAGACCATTAACACTGCCTTTAAAGGGAAAAAGGGGGTTACCGGTAAACACAGAGAGATCATAACAACCCTATGGCTTTCTGGTGGTGTGCAGATGTTTGGTTTGTGATCACTGGCCACAAAGCACTTTAACAGCCACATACAGCTTCAGACTCAGTTTTCCCACACAGAATTTGCATCTAATGCATTGTAATTATTACACAACAGGAACTGAGTCACTTACCTTAACAGTGTCAAACGGATGTCCCACTAGGACCCCAGCAGCACCTGAGATAAACAGAAGAGATGGAATTATGAAGATTCAGAGGAGAGCGTAGGGGTGGGCAATATGACAATATTTATTATTAAATGTTAAATTATGACATTACATCTGAATATTGTTTCAGACTACGTTTTGAATTAGGCACTGTAATTTACATATATCAATCTTAAACGCACAGTGACAAAAACAGCCTGTTTAATCCTAAGGTATAAAAAGGGTTTGGAAAATGGGCATGTAAAAAATGAATTCATAATTCTAAATAGCAATTTTTTACATGGCACTACTTGCATCTTTAAAAACTGTGATGTTATATTTTTAGGGGTGTGCTGGCTGCAAAGCAAAACTAATCTAAAGGCAGAGGATCTGTCTTAGTCATCAAATACACTGCACTGCATGTGGTGGCTATGTTCACCAGGGGAAAGTAGTGTCAAGTTTACAAATGTCCAAGAGCAGGGGCCAAGAAAGTTCAACTTAGACAGGCCCACATCTGTGTATCCGCAGTGAATCCTCTTTCCTCTTTAAAGCAACTACAACTAAAATCATAAATGCATTATACACAGTAACAGGCATGACTCAAATCTGTTTTCTTACAGGCCTCTTCGAAATCTCTTCGGACTACATTAGACTGCCTTCCCTTAAGTATACAAGGAGCAAGACCTGCATAGAACCCTCACTAAATATCATTTACTGTTTTCTTGAATTTGGTTTCATAAAGTCTTTCTGAGAGTTTAAGTGTATGTTCTTTTGAGCACTTCTAATACCGAAAACTCTGAAACTAACCCAGGAGGAGAGACTCTGTCTACGGACTAGTAAATGCATTAGTCATGAGTGCTTCTTATCACTGAAAATCTATCCCTGCTTCTCTGAACACTGCATAGCTTAGATGTTTATACCAATTAATGATACCAAGCTCACCAAGATGGCAATAACATGGTGTTCTCCTTTAGAGAAACACAAAGTCATATAAATATGTGATCATTGTCAAGCCAAACTGTTGTGTCAACATTCATAATATCCTGGGTTATAAATTCTGTAACTAGCCAAGTGAGAGGGGCTTTGGTAACCATGCCAATGAAATCATGTTGCTCACCTCAGTAAACAACATCAGATACTGTCAGGTGACCACTGGCCTGAGTGACAAGACCAGACCACTATGTTTCAGGATTTTAGAGACTTGCTAGGCCTCAGTATCTTCTGAAGGGTACACTCATTCATTTGAGTCGTTTGATATTGTGTAAATTCTCTAAATTTAGTAGTTAAACATTAAATATTTCCCCACTTTATTAAACAATTGCATCATACCATACTGTATTCTACCCGTGTACAAGTCTACAAGCTGTTGCCAGAGATCTCCTCCTGAATTATAAGGCAGGTGGCAGGCCCACAGCCTGACAGCTGTGATTGGTTCTTGCAGGGGTGTGTGGATGGTGCTCCTTTTTACGGGTTCAGAAAGGTCAGGTGGGATGTGGCTATTCTGGGCCTTTCCAAGAACCAAAATTTACAGTGCAGATCAGGCGTACATGCAGTCTGCACAACTATAGAAGGCGAAGACGCACTTTACAGAGTGGACAACTGTAAAGAGGGTTGCTTATTGCTAATAGGTTAGCTCATACTCTATAAAATTTACCTTCAGCTGTTTTTTCGAAAATTCTGCAGAATCAGATCATTCAGATGTAAACTAAGTCATTCAGAGCGCTTTGAGATAGAAACTGGAGAAACTGACAGAAATGCTCACAGTGGTGGTGATAGGAAAAAGATGTCTGACAAGTTGAACACCTTTAAATATTCTCTCACAGAAAGTCAACACATGGAATGTTTACGACTAGCTGCCTAACGCCTGGAGCATTGTTTTGCTATAGTTTTTAGATCAGGTTTCGCCCCAACATGTATCTTTCAAAATCCATTTATGATGAAGAGCAAAATAGGACTCAATGAAAACTTTTTTTTTAATTTACCACTATTGTACCTTTTTCAGCATTACATATTAAAACTCAAAAGATGCCTCACTGGTCGTTTTGAATTGTAAATACATTGCTATATTTGTGTTTGTGACCTCTGTAACCTGTAACCCTCTCCACCACTGTAATTTGACTCCCCAAGTTTCTCAACAATTTCACATCAAACCACTTTGAATGACATTTCATCAACTATGTACTTCTTTTTTAAATAGGTGGAATACCCCTTTAACACCTTACTATCCGAAATAATTGAAATTCTTAGTTGTTAAATGTCTGTACATGCCCACCAATTACCTCATTTTTTAAAGCTATTTAAAAAATCTAGAGTCATCGGTGAAACTCAAAAGCGACGACTCACAAGTCTGAGGTGATTATGACCAGTGATTAATCTCTCCGTCCAGACTGCGGTCGTAATTAGTACTGATTTTGCAGACTGAATCGAAAAATACGTAATGCTCAGTTAAATTTCCTGTTACTAGAAGAGGAAGAGGGCAGACTGGGCTCCTCTCAATATACGGAAGGATGCTGAAGCATTAACTGACCTAAGAGTGTAGCTACGGCTGTAGGAGTGTAAAAGTGCTCAGTTTGCCACTCATCCTTTTTCATTTATTCTTCAATTCATTTCAGCACATAACATGGGTATTCCATTGTAATTAATAGGTGGGACAGTTTGCAGTGCTGTGTGTATGAACTCTCACTTTGCTGTGGGTGCTTTACTGAAGAACACAGAATGGACTAGATTTTGCTGTCTATATAATGTTAACGTGAACACGTGTGTATATGTGTCAGTATGACCCTCTTAAGGGGCTTAACTTCAGCCCACCTAGCGTGCTAGCCAGCTAACTACCCAGACAGTCTTAGCATGTTAAGCTAGCTCACTAGCACCGAGCCCTTAGGAGTCATATGAATTTACCGTGTTAGCTAACTGGTCACCTACCTCCTATGCAGCCAGCAACGAAGTCCATTATGCTTCTCAAGACAGTCTTCACTCGCTGACAGTATCGACTTTTCTTTTATGATTTTTTCAGAAACGAGTATTAAGAGCCAACCGGCTATAAATGATTTAAGCGGGCACAAACTAGCTAAAGGTTAGCTAGCTAGCTGAGTTCTCTGCTCTGTCCTGCCTCGGTGAGTCTAGATCTGCGCCCAGCGACGCCAAATAAAAACAGATATTAAATGAAAGGGAAGAAGCTGCAGTGCTGCAACCAAGTGTTCGACCGACTACCCGGGTCGTAGTGGAAAATTACACCTCAGAGTACCACCTACAGGCTGTTCTATTTCTGTTCCAAGCCTGAAAGGCACAGCAGGGGGCGTTTACGGTGAATACTGTGCTCAGCCAATGGCTCCGTTCAGATACAGCCAATCCTTCTGCAGACACCACCTCCTTCTACACCCCTTTGTGCTCATTGGTCAGTCGCTGTCTTCTCGAAATGACTTTTCCGGGTTGCATCAGTCTTCCGAGGCGATGTGGAAAGGCTTATAGGTATTAGTATGCGGTGTGTGCGGGTCAAGGATTGTAAATATGCGAGGAGCTCATAAAACAAGTTTTAGTTTTGTTATTGTAACGAGAAAGGATAAATAGTCAAGTTTTATGGTGAGTAGTCTATACAGCCTGGATGTCGTGTTTGTAAAGTGAGTGAGATAAACGGCAAGTTACAACATCCTCGGGTGAATAAATAAATGAATAGCCCAGCAACAAGAGCCAGACAAAACACCTCGTGAATACATTAACTTCGACCTGCGTGTTGTCTTACTGCCGCACCATGTACCTCTAAGGCCGTTCTGTTGGCATGACTGCATGAACTTTGTGATACACGTTGTATATTCCTGAAAAGAGCTGCACCTTTGTCTCAAGCTGCCTCAAAAGCCCAAAGCGATTTAATAATTAGCCTAACATCATATAAGCCAGTATAACTTATCATTCATTCCTTTATTCATTCATTCATTCATACATTCATTCATATATCCATTTATTCATTTATTCTTTCATTCATTTGTTTATTTTTACAGTCTATTTATACATTCGTTAATTTATTTATTTATACATATTTTACAAATTGTGTCAGCATAAACTGGGGTGTAGTGATGCATTCGGCCTATGATTCGATTAAATTCTCGATACTGGGTTCATGATTTAGTACTTACATGATATTTTTGACAAAACGGAAGAAAAAAGAACAATGATGGTCCATGTTGTTACACAGCTAACTAAAGAAGATTCTGGTGTGGGCTGCTGATTGGTCCTAGTTGTTGTCATTCAGTGCCACAATTAATAGTCTGTCCATTCTCCCACTCTAGAAGGCCCATTTCACAGCCATAGTTAAAGTGCCCATATCCAAATTTTCCTTTTGGATGTTATTTATTTTTTAAATAATAAACATTGATGTGGTGCACAAACACTGTTAAAGTTTCCAAACATACTGTTCACTCCCCAGTCCATATATGGGAACTGAGCTATAGAAAACCTGTTTTGCCTGTTTTGAATTTGTTGAAAGCCTGTTTTGATTTCATTGTTTTTGTGATGTCACGAAAACCAAGTGACATCCATCCATCTATTCAGCCTACAGCAGTTTAGCCCCACCTACTTTACACTGAAGCTATAAAGAGTGTTCCAGTACAGACTGCTCTTTCAATACGGGGCAGCCACTCAGAACAGAACTCGTTTACACAGATCAATCTTAAAAGGCATAGTAATGAAACAGTCTGTTTAAAGGGAGGGATACAGACAGGTTGGAAAATGGTCATGTTAAATTGAATTATGCTTTTGTACTTAAATACACACAAATACACACACAATAAGTGGATATAAGGTGAAAAAATAAAGTGCGAGAAAAATGTAGCCCATGGGCCTTTAATTGAAAGCCCATTCTCTCATTCTGTAATGCCCAATGCACAGTTTACTGCTGAACATAATTAGCATTGTTAGAACAACAAAATTAGTCTCTTGTTGTTTCTGTCTATTGGACCTTAATTGATAGCCGTAACTACAAATATGAGGATGTGGTCAGCATAGTTGGCAGATTGAGTAGCACTTCTTTGTTTGTGTACTTTTGAAGCAGCCACACACACACACACACACACACACACACACACACACACCTTGTTTTCTCCACACCCCTTCTTAATTCTTCTCTCATTCTTAATCTGCCAGCCAGTTTATTAGGCTAAGTCATTCTAATTCTTTCAGTCTCATGATGGCCTGCTTTTGGCAAAGACACTTCTGTTGTCCTGATGTTGACAGTCAACAGCAATAGCAACAGCAAGACTCCATTTGCAGATGCCACATCTAGAATCAACTCTAGATTTTTTGGCTGTGTTCAGACTGCAGGCAAATCTTTGTTTCTTAAATCAGATCTTTTGAGACGACTGTCTGCACTGTTATTTTTAAGTGATCAGATCAGATTTACGTATTCAGACATCACTAGCCTATCTGCATGGGTTGCTGGAGTAAAGATGTAGGTGTCAGTAACTACGTAGCTACGCTGGTGATGTGAATTTCACATGTGGATGTAGGAGAGTAAGAGGTGCATCTTCTCGCTTTCCAAACTCTTCAAAATCCATTGGCATAAATGAATGCATGAATCTGGTGCTCTTATTAAATCCCAGCACTTGCATCACTCTGGATTTGACATTGTCATTGTTTGTCACGTTGCAGTTGATGTAGAGGACACTTTGAAATCCGATTTGAGCATCCAGCACATCCAGACATCTCTAAAAATCTGATTGGAATTGCATGTCAAGCCACCTGCAAATGTGGTTTGGATCTGTTTTTTTGCTGCTCCTATCAAGAATCAATATGGATAGAATGTGCGAAAAATCGGATTTGGACTGGCAGTCAGAACTAGGCCTTTGTTAACTATCATGGATGATCTGATGATGCTGTTATACACAGTTGTCTAAGAAACAACTAAACAGCCAACTGTCCAATTGCTTATGGTTCCATATACAGTACTGGACAAGTCAGAGCTCAACCTCTGTTTATTTAATTTTCAGTCATGACGGCTCTTAGGTACAGGTTATTCATTTTTCAGCATCAGAAAAAAAGGAAATATATATTTAATAGAAAATTACACAGAAGCCTCAACAACTAAATATAGTATCAGATATTTCAGTATTTGGTGTGCCCCCTCTTTGCCTTTATCACAGCTTCCATTCTTTTCAGGAGTCTTGCTTTCAGTTTTTCAAAGAAATCTGCAGGTATATTGTTCCATGCTTACAAAGTTTGGTTGCATTTTCTGCTTCATGATCCAAGTAATCCCAATTCCCACATTCAGTGATGTTGAGGTCTGGACTCAGTCCCTTGTTCTGAGATCACCAGCAGCTTCTTTGTTTGATTAGCAAAATTTCTTCTTTTTTGTTTATTTCCTTTTTTCAGTAAGGGCTTCTTGTCAGCTACACATCCTTTCAGACTCTTAATGTTGAGTTGTCTTCTCACAGTGGAAGGATGGGCAGACATAGCTGTGCATTTTTCAAATCTGAGGCAAGAGTGGAGCTTGATTTTCTTCTCTCTCAAAGATGAAAGCTTTAAGTACTGTTTATTCGATAGTAACGGTGTTGGCATTCATGGTTGTTAGGAGTCCCATTTTGTCTTTATCTTTTAATAATTCGAGTTTTGGAAACTGTTTTTTCACTTATTGTACTTTGATTTTCACCTTGCTTATGCCAGTGGGTTATTTTATGTTATCTCTGTCACAAGGAGGAAATGTATAGCTGGAAATGACCTGCCTGCTATCCCCCGCTGTTTTTTCATGTGTTTTGTTTTTTGATGGTGTAAATAAAAGAGCACTTCCCATGTCATAAATAATGGCCTCTGCCACGTCTCCTTCTACAGTGGCACTACAATACTTTTTCATTCAAACTGACATTATGCACTTTAACCTCATAGTCATTCCAAATCAAACGCGCTGGGTTACCGAGCCAAAATCATAAAAACTGTACTGTGACTGCACTGTAGTGTATTTTGTACAGAGATTGTAAAATGGACCTTCAGTACAGTAAGAGTGGACTGTGTCAGTAGCTAATGCTCTTAACAAAAAAGGGATTACGACTTTTGAGATGTATCGTTTAAATGAATGGAGCCATAGACAAGAACTGGTTCATCCAGTGTGATACCCAGAAGCGTCTTTCAAAAGCTGTTTGTGTACATTCCTTGTATTGTGGCGTAGTTTTACCTGTTGTTATTGTTGCTTTACTATTCAAAGTTTTGCTGTAATTGATAGAGTAAAACAGAGCTGAAAACATACCGCCATTCTTTTCTTACACAGCGTTCACTGTTAGCGCTTTAAAAAATTTAATTATAGTGCAGTTTATAATGCAGAAAAGAAATGAGATTAAGGATCAGAGAAACTAATCTTGGAACAGCAGTTCTCTATTTATTTGTTTTGTTCCTCGAGTCTGTGAAATTAAGCAACTCTGTGTGTAATAAGGATACCTTAAAGGGAAATGCCACCAGTGTTACAAATTTTCTGCAAGATTTAATCATAGAGATGTGAAGTACCTCAGACTTTACATTTGATTTGATGTAAAATGGTGGGTGTTAGAGACCCTTAATGACTTTACTAAGTAAAGATTTATTTATAGTTATGGTGATTTAGCCCTTTTATTTACCTTCCAAAATGACCAGTGAACTACATGTCTTCTCAGTTTATATTTGTAATGTTGTAAAACAGTGGTAAAGTAATAAAGTAATGAAATATAATAGATAATGTCAAAATGGTAAAGTAGTGGTAAATCTGAGAAAATTTTCTTTTAGGACTGTTTGGCCTCACAATGCCCTGCATGTACTTTTAAAAATTAAATTTTAGGCCAAATGCTTCTCAAAAGTTGTTGTAAAGCCATGTCTCAGACATCAGACAGCATATCTGTAATTAGTTCATGTAATAACTTTCGGTGAGATAACAAAGCCATTAAATGCTTTAAACATCTGGGTTACTGTTGCTTTGAATTTTGACTAAGTAAGTTTATGTAGAATGGTGCATGTCACATCAAACCAGACTTTGATTACCACATAATGATATAATTATGGAGAAATTTTGAAAAATCTGTGGGATTTCCCTTTAACCCATAATGAAAAGGCCTTACACCCATGGCTGTTTCTTAAATACATTGTGGTTTGAAAATTTTATTTGAGAGTTACTCATAAAGTCTTGCCCACACAAAGAAGAAATACAATAGAAACAATTAAAAAAACAAGCTTGTTTGTTGTTTGTTTGTTTTTTTGATAACTCTCTTTTAAAGGGGAATTCTAGTGATTTTTCTAAATTTCTGCATAATCAAA